GCAGCAGTCACCGTCCCAGCAGCAGTCGCCGCAGCAGTGGGCCCGTCTCCCGCCTGGTTGGCCCGGCACCTCCGGAGGTAGTGGCCGTGGTGGCGGCCCGCGTAGCTCGGTGTCTACCGGCGGCTCCGGTGCTGTCACCTGCCAGTACCAGCTTCGGACCGGGCCTCTTCGCGGCACTCTGTGCCGCCGCCCGCACCCGACCGCCCGCTGTTTCCGCCGCCTCGACGATCTCTTTCGTCGTCGCTTTGGCCTGGCCCCGGACCTCCCCGACTGGCACATCCTGCTCCGCCAGGGCGTGCCGATCTTTGAGTTAGACATGGATCAGATAGGTGCTGCTTTGCATGCTTTGTATTCTGACGCTTCTAGTTTTGCTGGATCTTATTATCCTGTGTACTCTAGTTTAGGAGTTGCACTACTGTGTAGCTTAGCCTCCCCTGCTGCGTCAGGCGTAGGACTGCCTAGGTTGCCTAGTCTAGTCGCTGCACCGGCTCCGTCCCCGGCCTCCGCCACTGCGTCGCTGTCCTTCACTCTCGACTCCGGTGCTTCTGCCTGCTTCTTCCGCGACCGTTCCACGCTTACGCCGCTTGCTGCACCTGTTGTTGTCTCTCTCGCTGACCCCTCTGCGGGTCCTGTCGTCGCGCGCAGTTTTACGTCCCTTCCCTGTCCGGCAGTTCCCTCGGGCTCCCTTACTGGCCTCCACGTTCCCTCGTTCTCGAGGAACCTGGTTGGTGTCGGCTGTCTCCAGGACCTCGGCGTCACCACCACGTTCCCCGGGCACGAGCGGTTCGCTGTCTGTTCTGAGGCTGTCTCAGGTTCCCCCCTTGCGACGTTCCCCCGGGACCCGGTGTCCGGTCTGTTTACCCTAGACACCGCTTCCCCCCCGGTTGGTGCATCCTCCCAGGTCGCTGCAGCTTGCTCGTGTCGGTCCCTCACTTACCCCTCCCTTCTCTGGCACCACCGCTTAGGTCACCCTGCTCTCCCGCGTCTGTGTCACATGTCCCAGCACGGTCTTGTCTTAGGTCTCCCCGCGTCGCTCCCTGCCCTTCCTCCCTCGACTGCGCCACCGTGCACGCCTTGCGTCGAGGGTCGGCTCCGCCGTGCTCCTCACTCCTCCTCGCTGCGCCCTGCTACTGCCCCCCTTCAGACCCTGCACCTGGACGTTTGGGGCCCTGCCCCCGTCCCCGGACCGCGCGGTGAGCGCTACTTCCTTTTGCTCGTCGACGACTACACGCGCTACACCACGGTGTTTCCCCTGGAGCGGAAGGCCGACGTGCCCGACGTTCTTCTCCCGTGGGTTGTGGCTGCGCGTCTCCACCGCGGTCTCCCCGTGTTGTGTCTCCACTCCGACCGTGGCGGCGAGTTCGCCACTGGTCGGCTTGGACAGTTCTGTCGTGCGGAGGGCATCACCCAGTCGTACACCTTGCCGGACTCGTCACAGCAGAATGGGGTTGCTGAGCGCCGCATCGGCTTGGTCATGGAGGTCGCCCGCACCTCCATGATCCATGCCGATGCCCCCCATTTTCTGTGGCCGTTCGCTGTTCGCTACGCTGCTCACCAGCTTAACCTGTGGCCACGCTCCCAGCGGCCGCAAGTTTCGCTGACCCTCCTTTGGACCGGGTCCCCCGGTGACGCGTCTGCGTTCCACGTCTGGGGCTGCCTTGCTCACGTTCGTGCCCCCGGTACGGACAAGCTCACTGCCCGCACTGTCCCCTGTGTCTTCCTCGGTTTCCCCCTGGACTCGTCTGACTGGCTTTTCTACCACCCGTCGTCTCACCGCTTCCTCCACTCTCGTGACGTCACCTTTGACGAGTCCGTCTCCTTGTACCGCCGCTTCCCTCACCGAGGTCTCCCAGTTGCCCCCCCCTTGTTCCTTGCTCCCTCTCCCCTGGTAGCCCCTGCCCCTCTCCCGCCTCGTCCTGCCCCGTCTGGTGTCTCTCACATCACTCCCCTCCCGTCGGTTGTCCCCGTTGAGGAGTCTGCTGACTCTGGTGGTACCCCCGGTCCGTCCTTGCCGCGTCCCCCTTCCCCGGTGCCTCCGCCCCCACTGTCGCAGTCGCCGACCCCGCTGCCGCCGCCGTCGCCGTCGCTGCCGCAGCCGTCGCCGCTGTCGCCACCGCCGCAGCCGTCGCCGCCGCCGCTGCCGTCGCTGCCGCAGCCGTCGCCGCTGTCGCCGCCGCCGCAGCCGTCGCCGCCACTGCCGCCGCCGTCGCCGCCACTGCCGCCGCCGCTCTAGGCCCCTGGGGGTGCTGGTGTGGAGGAGGGTGTTCGTCCTGCGGCTTCTGGGGGTGCCGCTGGTGTTGGAGGGGGTTCTCGCTCTGGGGGTGTTGGTTTTGGGGGTGCTGCTGTTGAGTGTTCTGCCGACGGTCGTTTTGCCTCTGCTGGTCCGAGAGTTCCGGCCCAGCCGTCGTCGCCGCCGCAGCAGCCGTCGTCGCCGCCGCAGCAGCCGTCGCCGGCGGTCTCCGCTCTCCGCCTGCTCAGCCTTCCCTCCCCGGACCGCGCGCCGGTGTCTCCCCCACCGCCTGCTGACCTTCCTGTCTACGGTCCTGTGTTGCCGCCACCGGACTTGTCTCCGGCCCGTCTTCCTTCTTGTTCCCCTCCTGTGTCTCCTCCGCTGTCCCCTGACCCTACATCTCCGTCTTACGTTTGGGCTCGCCGTCCCTCCCGTGCTCGTCCCGTCTCTCCTGTCCTGCCCACCCACCCTATGTTGCTCCGTTCCCGCTCGTCTCGTCCTCCCCTCCTCCCGTCCCCTCCTCCCTCGTCCCTTGCTGTTGCACCTCCTCCGTTCTCTGACTACCTCCGTGCTGCTCGTCCCCTTGTCCCTCGGGTCCTTGCCTCTCTTGTTACCGACCCTGCTGTTCCTGTCTCGTGCCTTGACGCGCTTGTCGCTGCTGTCGCTGACTTCGCCTCTACCCGCCGCCTTGACTATGCTACCGCTCTGGTCTCTGACCCTGCCCGTCCTCCGTCCGTCGGGGGTGCTCCTGCCCTTGGCAGTGACGTCCTAGAGGACAGGCAGTACGAGCTTGCTTTCCTTTTCGAGGCTGCTCCCCATCTCTGCTCCATGCTTTTAGTCCCTGAGGGTGACCCAGACGCCTTCGACATCCCGACCCCTCGCACCTACGCTGAGGCTACCTCGGGACCTTGGGCCTCTCAGTGGATAGCTGCCATGGAGTAGGAGATGGCATCTTGGAGGTCCACCGGCACTTACGTCGACGCAGTTCCCCCACCTGGGGTGAACGTAGTCGATGGTCGGTGGCTCTTCAAGGTGAAGCGCCCCCTTGGAGAGCCGCCTGTCTTCAAGGCGCGCTACGTGGCCAGAGGTTTCAGTAGGCGCGAGGGGGTTGACTTCTTCCAGACCTTTGCCCCGACCCCGAAGATGACCACTCTTCGGGCGCTGCTACACGTAGCAGCACAGCGTGACTACGAGCTTCACTCCCTCGACTTCTCTACTGCCTTTCTTCAGGGCAGCCTACACGAGCAGGTCTACCTGCACCGACCACAGGGCTTCACTGGTACCTTCCCTCCTGGGACCCAGTGGCTTCTCAGGCGCCCGGTCTATGGCCTGCGTCAGGCTCCCCGCGAGTGGCACGACACGCTACGTGCCACGTTAGCAGACCTGCAGTTCTTTCCGTCCTCTGCTGACCCTTCACTGTTTGTGCGTTCCGACCAGACTCCGTTCTACATCCTTGTCTACGTAGACGACCTGGTCTTCGCTACTCCTGACAGGGACGCACTGGCCTCTGTGAAGGCTGAGCTGCTGAAGAGACACACCTGCACTGACCTTGGAGAGCTGCGTCGCTATCTTGGCTTGCAGATCTCTAGGGACAGAGCAGCACGCACCATCACTCTGACCCAGTCACACTTGGTGCGTCAGGTCCTTCAGAGGTTCGGTCTTCAGTTCTCCTCCGCACAACCCACACCTCTACCCGTAGACCATGGGCTCTCTGCTCCCGTTCCTGAGGAGCCAGTAGAGCCCAGTGGCCCCTACGCAGAGCTGGTGGGTTGCCTCATGTACCTGATGACTTGCACTCGCCCAGATCTCGCATACCCTCGCAGCATCCTGGCTCGCTTTGTGGCTACAGGCAGACATCGACCTCAGCACTGGTCTGCCGCTAAGAGGGTTTTGCGTTATCTTGCTAGTACATCAGGCATGGGGTTAGTGCTAGGAGGACGCAGGCCAGTGGTCCTTACTAGGCACACAGACGCTTCTTGGGCAGACGACGCTGAGACGCTCAGGTCGTCGCAGGGCTACTGTTTCAGCCTTGGTTCGGGTGCTATCTCTTGGAGATCCACTCGCTCGTCGTCTGTGGCTCAGTCTAGCTGTGAGGCTGAGATCTACGCTGGTGCCATGGCGGCACAGGAGCTCCGCTGGCTGACCTTCTTGCTCACAGACTTAGGTGAGCGGCCTAGCTCTGCCCCGGTCCTGTACGCTGACAACAGGGCCATGATACTCCTGTGTCAGGAGCCTCGGCTTGAGGGCAGAGCGAAGCATATCCAGCTGCGGTGCTTCCTCCTGCGCGAGCTACAGCAGCGCCGCCAGGCCCGCGTAGTTCACTTGGCCTCAGGTGCCAACACAGCTGATATCTTTACTAAGGCGCTTGCGCCTAAAGTTCATCAGCGGCACTGTGTACAGCTTGGTCTTGTTCCTGTAGCTGCTCCCCTGTTAGGATCCTGATTGTGTACTCTCTATTATATATGCTTGTCAGACTGGCCTTGTGGCCTTACCTCCAATGGCTGGACTAGTAGTGCCACCCTGGCTTGCTTCAGTTTTGGTTGTATTCTTGCTGACTGGTCTCCAGACCCCTGCCTCAGTGGTTGGACTAGTAGTGCCGCCTTGAGCTGTTTGCTTCTTGTTTAGTTTCACCCCTTGTCTAGCCTAGGGGGTGTGTCAACTTATACATATTATCTATGTAGAAGTTATAGGCTAGACTGAGGTATGCTTCTAGTGAGTACAACCAACTAGTATTTGTTCTAGGTTTCCACGTCTAGTCATTATTCGTTCTCACTTTGACAGTTCCCCTGCTCAGCAGCAACAACAGCAATATCAGCAACAGCAGCAGCAACAACAACAACAACAACAACAACAACAACAACAACAACAACAACAACAACAACAACAACAACAACAACAACAACAACAACAACAACAACAACAACAACAACAACAACAACAACAACAACAACAACAACAACAACAACAACAACAACAACAACAACAACAACAACAACACCAACACCAACAACAACAACAGCAACAGCAACAGCAACAACAGCAACAGCAACAACAGCAACAGCAACAGCAACAACAGCAACAGCCAAGCATTGTTTTTCAGCCTCCAAATTTACTTAAAACCACAGGCTAGAAAAGCACACCCTGGGCGCTCTTGAAAACTGAGCTTTTTGGGGGTCAGAATAAACGACCCATACTCGAGCACTACACACCAAACAAAACGAAAAAAACATGTTGCGACAGTTTGAAACGTAGCGAAAGGACCACGACGCACCAAACTGATCAACGACTTCGGCGGAACACGGTGCGACACGTGTGAAAGTCGCACAATTTGTCGAATGCGACTACCACCCTCAAACCCGTCGTTCAAGAGCTCCATGGGTGTGCTTCATGATTTGGAGGAGGAGATTATGTCGTAGTCAGTCAAGCTTAGGAAGCCATAGCTGCCACAGCACAGGTCAAAAAAAGGAAACCGCCCGCCCATCGACGACCAACTCCCAGCACTACGAGGGGGAGGTTTTTTACACTAAAGAAAATGATACCTTGGGCGTAATACCGACGTGCACATTGGGACGAGCTAAGATCGGCGTACAAGACATAGTGCCCGCCTAAGTTCGCGTGCCAAAACTGTTGTAAAACCTGCCATTAGGCCCCACGACTCTAGCGGAGGTATATAGCCCGAGATTAAATGGCACGGGCCATGAAACACTCCCGCAAGGGGATTGGGCCTCGGATAGCGAGAAGATCGGGGGAACGCGTAGCGAGGAGAGGGGGAACGGATGGCGACGAGAGAAAGACACGTGGCGAGAAGAGGCGGGAGATGGCGACGGGAGGGGGAACGGATGGCGAGGAGAGAGGGAGGAGAGAGAGGAGACGGGGGACAGATGGCGAGCAGAGAGGGAAGAGAGAGAGGAGACGGGGGACGGATGGCGAGGAGAGAGGAAACGGAAAGCACAGAGAAAACGGGGGACGAATGGCGGAGTGAGGGGGAACGGAAAGCGAGAAGAGAGGGAACGCATGGCAAGGAGAGGGGGGGCGGACGGCGGGGAGAGGGGGAAAGGATGGCGGGGAGAGGGGGAAAGGACGGTGGGGAGAGGGGGAAAGGACGGCGGGGAGAGGGGGAAAGGACAGCGGGGAAGGGGGGAAAGGATGGCGGGGAGAGGGGGAAAGGATGGCGGGGAGAGGGGGAACGGATGGTGGGGAGAAGGGGAACGGTGGTTGGGAGGGCCTTGAGAGGGGGAAGAGAGGGCAAGAAGAGAGCAAGGGAGGGCGCGGAGGGCAGAGAATGGAAGGTGAGGGGACGTGGGGAGAGGGGTAGTGGAAGGGGGGTAACCGAGGGAGAAGACACTAGCAGGAGAGGGTGAGGGAAGGCATATAAGATGGGGGGAAGATACAGATGTTAGGGTGAGGGGAGGGGGATGAGAGGGGGAAGAGATGCGGAAAAGAGGGGGAGGAAAGGGTTAACCAACGGCGAGGAGGGGTGTGCGAGGGGATGAGGGATGGCTGAATTGAGGGAACGGAGAGAGGGGGATACGGGTGAGGAGATTCGGAGCCAAGGGCAAGTAGAGAGGGAGGAGAGTGGTTAGAGAGAGGGGGGGGGAGGAAGAGGGTAAAAATACCCGAGGGCGAGGAGAGGTGTGGGAGAGGGAGAGGGAAGGCGGATGAGAGGGCTGGGAGAGGGGGGACGAGCATTGGTGGTTGGGAGGGCCGCGAGAGGGGGATGAGAGAGCGAGGAGAGAGCAAAGTAGGGCGAGGAAGACCAGAGAATGGAGGGCGAGGGAAGGAGGAAGAAAGGGCAAAGAGAGGGGGAACAAAGGGCAAGGGGAGGGGGAACAAAGGGCAGGGTGAGGGAGAACAGATGGCGGGTAGAGGGGGAGTGCTTGGCAGTAAGAGGGCTTTAATATTTGGAATCAAGCTCCCGGTCTCTGCTGTCTGCCTGCTCTCTCCTGCCCCTCCATTCCTCCCGCTCTCTGCTGTTCCCCCGCTCCCTGCTGTCCGCCTGCTCTCTGCTATCCCCCCGCTCCCTGCTGTCTGCCTGCTCTCTGCAATCCCCCTGCTCTCTGCTGTCTGCCTGCTCTCTGCTATCCCCCCGCTCCCTGCTGTCTGCCTGCTCTCTGCAATTCCCCCGCTCCCTGCTGTCTGCCTGCTCTCTGCTATCCCCCCGCTCTCTGCTGTCTGCCTGCTCTCTGCTATCCCCCTGCTCTCTGCTGTCTGCTTGCTCTCTGCCATCCCCCCGCTCCTTGCTGTCCGCCTGCTCTCTGCTATCCCCCCGCTCCCTGCTGTCTGCCTGCTCTCTGCTATCCCCCTGCTCTCTGCTCTCTGCCTGCTCTCTGCCATCCCCCAGCTCTCTGCTGTCTGCCTGCTCTCTGCCACCCCCCCGCTCCCTGCTGTCTGCCTGCTCTCTGCTATCCCCCCGCTCTCTGCTGTCTGCCTGCTCTCTGCTATCCCCCCACTCTCTGCTGTCCCCCTGCTCTCTGCTGCCAGCCCGCTCTCTGTTGTCCCCCTGCTCTCTGCTGTCCCCCGCCTCTCTGCTGCCTGCCCGGTCTCTGCTACCCCCCTACTCTCTGCTGCCCCCCGGTCTCTGCTGTCCCCCCTCTCTCGGCTGTCCCCCCCCTCTCTGATGTGCCCCGGCTCTCTCCTGTGCCGCATCCCCTTGTGGTCGAGGCAATGATTTTTTTCCCGACCTCGCTCCCATCTCCCATCCTTTCCCCCATCATCCCTTCCTTTTTCTCCCATCCTGTCAAGCTTTTCCTCCATCCGCTACCCCTTTCACTTATGTCTCTCTATGCCAGCACTGCCGCCAATGCTGCAGTTACGGTATCTCTGCTGCCACTGGTGTGGGGAATTCTGCCCGTGCTGCCATTTCAACATATGCGAATGATGCATGAAGGGGTATTGCTCGCTGCAATCACATATTTTCGTGGCCTAATTTTGCAATAAAACTTCGCATTGTTTCTCTAAACCACAGAGGCGCAAAATGCATTTTGCATATTACATTGTGATGTTGATACTGTTGTATGCTATTCATAACGTTCCAGGTACATGCTATTACATTGTGTACGAGTTACATACCAATTTTATTTGCAAAAGAGTCTCGAGGTTCCACAAGCCTTCTAAAGTCAACCTGTTCGGAACCCCGTTCTCGCGTCACGCATATTGACGCAGGTAGTCCCCTCTATATGCATGTTTTGTCCAAGTTCTGCTTATTCGCATAACTTGGCGTTGGACCAGATCGAACCTAAACACGCCCCGGCTACAATGGGATTTCTCTCTCGCCATTTTGGTGGAAATTTTGGTTTGTCGTACATGGCTTTATCGCCTCGTCGCACGCGTTTCAATATCGCCCAACCTCCGGTAGGTGCGTAATATTGTGATTCAAACCTGCTCGTCTGCCCCAAACTTCTTATGGCAGTTTCGCACTAGCACCCCAGATTTTTTCAAGTGCCCCCGCTTTCAAGAGCGACGCACTTGAAACCCCCCCTTTGCTATTTTAGCCTGTGGTTTTAACAATACTCAGATCAAGACGACCGTACCTTTTAATGGTGTTGACTTTTACTCCTGGAGCTTTGAGTTTGAGCTTCTGGCGCAGTCCGCTGGGCTATGGCCGTTCTTCACTGGCGAGTTTACGTATCCTGTCGTGAGAACACAACTGGAGCAGCAGAGTTTCTTGCACGCCTCTCTCGGGGCATATACAGTTCTTGTTCGAAACTTGTCGCCGAAGGAGCAACCCGGCGTTCGATCATTTCACTCAAGTTTTACACTAGCCGAAACTGCATGGAACCATCTGAAAGGGGTATACATGGAAAAGGATACGATAACAGTGAGTAAAATACTTTCGCAGCTGACAAGTGTGCAGATGATGACAAATGAAAACGTCATGGACTACGTTAACTGTGTCCGTACACTACGCGATCAACTGGAAAAGAGCGGATGATACTTCCCTCGTGAGATGTATCTCACGGTCCTTCTTGCTGGTCTTGGACCCGAATGGCGACAGACGCGCGCCTTCCTGCGCATGAACCCCAACCTCTCCGAAGCCGAAATTTCTTCTTATCTTCAAGCAGAGCAGCAAGATCTTGACCTGCAGTCACAACGCAATCAGAAAAAGGGACTACACTTGAGTTTTTACTCCAATCCAGAAACACAGCATCGACATCCACCAAAAGTATCCATTCTGCCATTTCTGTAAGAAACCAGGACATACTTACCAAAACTGTCGCATCCGTCATCAAAATCGTCGCAGCACTTCACAGCCGTATCGCCGATCGCAGCAGTTACCGAAGACACAACAACCACAGCAGCTGTTAACGTCTCAGCAGCAGCAGATGCCGAAATCTCCGCAGAATCCGTCGACGTCTCAGCATCGCCCGCCGGTCTTCGCATCTGCCACATCAGGAAAAGGAGTTTTCGGATGTGTTACAACAGTTGATGTTTCAGAAACAGATTTCGAGACACAACTTGAAGAAACCACAAGTGCTGAAGGCATTCCTTTACCTCAAGTTTATGCTAACCTTGCTCGAATAATTTCAGGTCCGAATACTTGGTATCTCGACAGCTGCGGCGGTTGGCACATGTGTTCCGCAGAAACCAGCTTGATTACCAATCAGCGTCCACTTCGTCGTCCGATACCTGTAACAGTCGCAAACGGACAAACCATTATGGCATGAGCAGTTGGGAGTGTCATGCTCGAATCTATTGACACGGGATACTCACTACATGTTACCAATGTTCTTATTGTCGCTGGCCTTGGATTCAATCTTCTTTCCACGGCTCAGCTTCTGGCACACAAGATCCGAACACAGGGCAATTGTGAGACGATGGATCGGGAGCTCTGGCACAGTTCAACGAATACTTACCTTGGTCGTGCCGCCACTCAACATGGCGTGTCCGTTCTTCAGTTCGCAGCACAGGGAACTTCTGGTGATTCTGAACGCGTCCTTGCACTTGGTCCCTGGGATCACCCAGAAGAAACAGATTATCAACACGTGGATATTGACTTTCGAGCAACTCCTGTACCAATGACTTCTCGAACTGCAGCCGCCGTACTTACCGCGTTGGATACCTGGGAGTTCAATACCGCCGATGAAAGCGCCACCGCGTGGCGAACGTTTTATAATACCCGTGCAGCCTTCCAAGGAACTCCAGCACCACTTTGGGGGGAAATAAGTGGTCTTGCAGCTGATGAACCTGACGTCGTTGAAGAAGCCGAAAAGGAAGAGGTCGTTGAGCAGCCATATTCAACAGTAGCTGTTGCCGAAACGCCTACCACAACATCAACAGAAGCAGTATCAGAAGTTGCAATCACACCTACAGCCGCACATTCAACTGTTTCATTGTAACTTACACGTTTCGTTGAAGGAGATGTTGACCGATCACCAGCGCAATCTCCTTTTATCATTTCTTCTTTCTATACTAACGCCGATTTCTACCAGCGATCATCATGACACAAAGCACCAGAAGATATATGGCATCAACGGTTAGGACATCCATTACAGGGGATTCTTAATCATTCAATACGAGCAGCAGTTCTGGATAAAAACAATCTTTTATTACCTGATGGCACGGAGATGAAGCCGCAGTCCCGTCCCACGGTTTGCACCACGTGTCCGGTTGCCAATCTTACGCATGATCCGTTTCCCAGTCATTTTCCTGGATCAACATGTTATAAACTGATGCAGAAAGTCTTTAGCGACATACTAAACTTACTTGAGGCAGGACCTAAAGACGAGAAGTACGTCATAACATTCATCGAAGCATCTACACGCTATGTCTGGACAGCAAACCTTCCTGCGCGCCATCACGCTCACTCCGTCTTCGTTGCGTGGCTCGCTGTAGGTGAACGAGAGTCAGGCGTGAAACTGTAAGAATTTCAGAGTGATGGTGCAGGGGAGTACACCAGCAACACTTTCACAGAATACTTTCAGACACTCGGCATCAAACGGAAGCAGTCACTGCCGCATGCACATCAACAGATGGGGGTAGCAGAAAGGATGAACAGAACTCTGCAGGAGACGATGCGTGCTCTGCTGACACATGCAGCTCTTCCACCGCATTTTTGGCCGTATGCGATGGACCACGCCGTGTTGTTACACAATCTTCTTTCTTCAACGTCCCTGCCCGCGTTCTCTTCTCCACACCTGCAGTGGACACGTACAGTGGGAAGCACCAAACTTTTACGAGTTTTCGGGTGTGTCGTGCAGTTTCGTCCTCCAACTGCAGCACTTGGCAAATTTTCCGAACGAGCAAAATGGGGGGTACATCTCGGCATCGAAAAACAGTATCACGCGTGGAAGATTTTGGATCTCCGCTCCAACCAAATCGTCCCATCACGTGATTGTTCTATGAAAGACTCACCTTGCCCGTTTTTCGTGCCCACCAGTCAGCAGCTGCCAACCCCGCCAGGCTGTTCCAAGGCTCACGTGCGTTTGCAACTGACGAAGCCGAAGCTGATGTACAGGACGAGGATGTTTCTGAAGCTTCCGAAGCTGCTGCAACAGACATTCCCGAACCTGTCACTTCGACCGGCATACCTGAATTCATTCCTCTTGCAGATGCTGATCAAGATGATGTTCGCGAAGTTCACCTCAGTTACGAACGCGATCGCCAACAGCAGCCGATGCCCGTCGTCTCCGACGAAGCAGTTCGTGTTACACCTGACGAAATTGGGGGGGAAGAAGGACCAGAAGAAAATTTCGCAGGTGCAAACGAAGAACGTCCGCGTTTTACAGAAACAGGATTACAGATACTGTGATTCGCAGTCGCAGTACAGTGCAACAACAGTAAGATACCTGAACTGAAAACCGTTCGACAAGCTCTTACAAGTCCTCACCGAGAGAAATGGCGCGAAGCCATGGACAGAGAGCTAGCAGCTCTCAAGAGTCGCGGAACATGGGATTTAATACCGACTTCAGAAGTAAAAGGAAATAAGGTACTTACCGGAAAATGGGTCTTCCGCGTCAAGACTAATGCAGATGGGTCGTTTGAGAAATTCAAGGCGCGAAGGGTTGTCCGTGGGTTCGAGCAGACTTACGGCATCGACTATGAACTAACTTTTGCTCCTGTCGGGCGACATACAAGCGTTCGGATTTCACTCTGTGTCGCCGCCTGCCGTAATCTTCGCCTTCGACAAATCGACGTATCAAATGCGTTTCTCTACGCGCCCGTCGATGCACTCATCCTTGTAGAGTACCCGCATTCCTATGCTACTAACCCACCGAGCGTATGCCGTCTACGAAAATCCTTGCACGGCATTAAACACGCACCACGACTCTGGCAACAGTACCTACACTCGCAGCTTATCACTGCCGGATTTCGTCAGTTACCGCATGACCAGGGAATGTATCTACTAACCGATGGCAGCAACTATATTTTACTTGTCGCCTACGTCGACGACATCCTCTTCGTCAGTACTACCGATTCTCTTGCTGATATCTTCATACTGAAACTACAGAAAACTCTACAGCTTACCGTTACTGAAACAGTCTCACAGTTTCTTGGTCTAAACGTTACCTGTTCACCGACGACTATTCATCTCACCGCTTCGAAGTACGCAGCAACGCTTGCTGCCCGCTTCAACCTCACACCTACTACAGTCTCTATACCGTACCGCTCACTATCGACTGACCACAAACCGAACACTGCACTGTTAAGGTCAATCGGTTTACAGATCTATCAACACCAGTTAGGCTGTCTACTCTTCGCCGCTGTCACATGTCGTCCCGATCTAGCTTATGCGGCCAGTCAGCTCGCTCAGTTTCTTCGCCGCCCCGAAGAAGAACATCAGCTTGATCTTCTCCGCGCGCTTCAGTATTTCATCTCAACACCTGACGTCGGTTTAGTCTACAACGTCATCGGTTGCAAAACACTATACCTACACGGTTTTGTCGACGCTGATCACGCTGCTGACTCTACTAATCGACGGTCGCGCACTGGATTCATCTATCGACTGGAACCTATCGGAACTATCTCTTGAAATTCGACGAAGCAGGAGTTGATTGCTCTCTCTTGTGCTGAAGCTGAGTTTATTGCTGTATGCACAGCAACACGCGAAGGACTCTATCTACAGGAACTATTGGAAGAAACGAAGTTGACGACAACTACCGAGTTTACCCTACAGTGCGACAATCAAAGTGCAATTCGCATCGCGCATCAGCCTGGTTTCGTCAACAGGACGAAACATATTTCTCTACGTTAATTTTTCGTCAAGGATGAAGTCGAGAAGGGGAGGATGAGATTGGTTTACTGTTCGACCAACGAAATGGCTGCCGATTTTCTCACGAAGAAGCTGACACGACAGAAGTTCCAGTACTGTAACAAACTTTGCGGGATCTTCAAGAAGTGACACTATCGACGTTCCAGAAATGAAGGGGAGTGTTGTGATATAATTGATGCTTAGCATTTCTGTAAGTCGATTAGTTGTAGATAGTCTCGAATCTTACTGTAGAGCATAAGTCCGTAGAATGACGTCAGCAAATAGCGCTCGTCATAGGACTGTCGTTTCAGTCACGCGAACAGTCGCACCTCTTCAATATAATTTAGGGCGCATAGCATGATAGTGACGAACAGGTACATTAGCGAATAGGTACTTTTCCTAGAACTATAAAATCCTTGTTAGGTCTTTTCATTATTAACTTTGATTATCCACAAGTTCATGTACTCAGGTTATTCAACCTCGACCTTTACATTTTACAAGACTTCCGCTGGACCGCTTGTCAGAAACTAGCTTAGCTAGGAAGCCATAGAATGGCACAAGGTTTAGCTAGGAGCTAGGAGGAGCCATGAGAATGGCGAGAGGTTTTAGGTGCTAGGAAAGTTGAGGAGAGAAAAGGTGTTGGATTAGAAGAGAGGGGAGTACAAGGAGGGGTTTGTACCCCCTACAGAAAGGTTCAGTAACAACCTACCAAGCCTATATTAAATTATAACTTATATAATTTGAACACACCCCCTAGGCTTGGTAGTCACATGCCCACACACACCCACACCCCCTAACCTAGCACCCACATTCCAGCCACAGTGACAGCGACTCTAGGTCGGTCGACCCCACGGCGCGTGAGGCGGCGACGTCGACCGCAGGGGCTGCGGCGGCGACGGCGGCAGCGGCGGCAGTGTCGACAGCGGCGGCGGCGGCGGCGTGCGGCTGCGTGGCCCCGACGCAAGCGGCGACAGCGGCGGCGGCGGCGGCTTCGACAACAGCGGCAGCGGCGGCGGCACCCGCACCTCTCGGTGACGTGGCCAGGCCCCGCGACGGTGGGACGGCCGGCGGGAGTCAGCCGTCGTCTGCGGAATGGAAGAGGGCACAAGGGAAGGAGGGGGGTGGGGGGGGGGGGCGCCACAGGCTGACATGCGGGCGGCCGGTCTAGCGGCGCCACAAGCGTCACGCGGCCGGCTGCAGCCCGACGACGCCGTCATGGAGCGGCGTCGATGCCGCAGCGGGGCGTCGACGTTGCGACGGCAGCACGACGTCGCCGTTACGGCGACCGCGCGCTGTCGCGTAGACGCCGCGGCAGCGTGACGGCGCCGTCACGTCGCGACAGCATCTTGACGCGACGGCGGAGCTGCGGCACGACGGCGCGGCCACAGCAGCTGGACGCGGGCGCCATGGACGTCGACGGCGGCGCCGCGGCACGACGACGCGGCCACAGCAGCTTGACGCGGCCGCCATGGCAGCGCGAGATAGAGAGAGAAACGAGCACGCAGCGGAAACGCGAGGAGCAGGCCCACGCGGAACGAACTGCTCTAATACCATGTCAGAAACTAGCTTAGCTAGGAAGCCATAGAATGGCACAAGGTTTAGCTAGGAGCTAGGAGGAGCCATGAGAATGGCGAGAGGTTTTAGGTGCTAGGAAAGTTGAGGAGAGAAAAGGTGTTGGATTAGAAGAGAGGGGAGTACAAGGAGGGGTTTGTACCCCCTACAGAAAGGTTCAGTAACAACCTACCAAGCCTATGTTAAATTATAACTTATATAATTTGAACACCGCTGTCTTACTAGTCTACCATTCCAGTAAAGATCCTGGACCAACACTTGAGGGTTTTCCAAGTGTTTGTGTTTGCAATTTTATACTTAGTCTACTATAACACCATACGATTTATTTCAAAAACTTGCCCAAAGCGTAGATCACGGGTGGCAATAAAAATTTCGTTTGTGCGTGTTATGTTACTCAGGGCTATAAGTTATTCGACAAGGTTAAAACTCAAGTACAGTAAGGCCTTAAAAAGAAGCCTTCAACTTGCGGATGGAGGTGTGATGTGAAGCCTACGTGCTGAGAAAATGAATTGAAGAGGAACAAGGCAGCCGGCAATCTGCCGATAGATGATGTACAGAGAAGATAATAGCAAGTTGTAAGCAGCGAAATATGATCCACGCAGGTGACAGACTCTGGGAATGAGCCAGGGCAAGGGGAGTTGTTTGTAGCTGGTGCCATGGTGCGTGGTCGCTGGGGGAAGAGCTGCTGATGTGTGTGCTGAGACGGTGAAGAGGGTGCTAGAGTCATCATGATCGGGTTTGGGGAGACAAGGGATGGTGGATGGACGGTGATGCATGCATGCAGTGTGTAGCCATGGTGGATGCATGTCGTAGCCGGGTGAGTGAGTAGAGCGATGATGGATGGTGATGCATGCATGCATGCAGTGTTGGGATGCGATGGAGGATGCACGTCACGAACCCATGGCCGTTGGGGGAAGCACCCCATGGCTCGGGCTGCAGGAGGGAATGCTGGTGCCATGGCGACGAAAGCGGGGCGTCGCGGTGAATGAAGGGTGCTGCAGTCTGTGGTCACTGTACAGGAGGTGCATGAATAGTGCGCCACCACCACGGCACAATGAAATATCTACCAGAAACCACTGTGCCGGCGGATACGTTTGAGCACCCATGTTGTGGGGAATGAATGCGACCTGGAGTCTGTGCTGTGCCTGCTGTCTGCTCTTTTTCTGCTGTGCGCTGTTGGAAGGCCCGTGGCTGTGTGCGCTGTGGATGTTGCAGCATGCATGTCAATGTCCTGTGCCTGTGAGATGGGGCGCTGTGCCATGCACTGCAAGGCAGTATGCGCTCATGCGCGCACCACTCAGCACCTCACTTGCTCACAGCCCCACTCAGCTGCCCATCCACTCCGTCCTCCTCCTCCCCTCCACCACCCCCCCCACCACCCCATCCCCCCCCTCCATGTCATTGATTCTCACCACCCCATCTGCTGCCGGTGCCCTCCCTCCCCTGCCCCACCCGCCCATCCATCCTCCCACCCAACGTTTCACACCAGCCCACCCACCTTTCTCCCGTCCGTCCACTGCCCCGCTACTGCCCTCCCTGCTGCTACTCCCCACTGCGGACCCCTCCCTCTCCTCCTCCAACCCAAACCCTTCTTGAGTTCCCCCTTCACTACTCCCCCCCTCCCCGCCCTCTGCTTCCCTTTCTCTTGTCCCTCCTGCTGCCGCTGCTGGAGTGGGGATCGTGGAAGGTGCAGAGGCAGAGGAGGAGGAGGAGGAGGAGGCGGCAGTTCCAACGCCCAATCCAGTGAGGACACGTGGCAGCCAGATGTCAGCAGCCAGGGACTCCTCGAGCTGCTCCAGTCGCTGCCTCAACACCCGTGCCTCCTCCTCCAGCTGCCGGTCCCTCTCGTGCAGGGCCTGGTGGTGGTGGTGGTGGTGGTGGCGGTGGTGGTGGTGGTGGTGGTGGCGGTGGTGGTGGTGGTGGCGGTGGTGGTGGTGGTAATGGTGGTCGTGGGGGTGGCGTGGCGTGTGCGTGTGCGTGTGTGTGGGTGTGTGCATGTGTGTGTGCGCGCGCGTGCGTGTGTGTGTTTGTGTGTGTGTGTGTGTGTGTGTGTGTGTGTGTGAGTGAGGGAGTGAGAGTGAATGAGTGATGGAGGAAAGGAAGGGGCTAGCAAGAGCGAAACAAAGAGATTGAAGTTGGAAAGTTGTCGCACACTTATTCTGGTCGGATTCAGCCCACAACCCTCCTATCTCCTCACCATTCTCCCCTCTAACAATCTCTCCTCTCTCTCAAAAGCCCATCATCGCTCCACATTGCTCACCCCTCCCCTCCCCTCACCGCTCTGATCTCCTCACCTCTCGCTCCAGCCGCAGCTTTGCTTCCTTCCTTGCATTGGAGCGAGAACTCCTTGCTGCCTCGATAAACACCACTCCTCCTGCCACCTGCGCACATGCGTGGGGGGGGGGGGGGAGGGGAGGGGGGTTTGTGCATGCTTGTGAATGGCATGGCAAACGCTAGCGCCATTGCCCACCCGCCACCGCCCGTCACCGCCCGCCACCACACTCCTCCACCCGCCACCGCCCGTCACCTCCCGACCCCGCCCGCCACCGCCCTTCACCGCCCTCCACCGCCCGCCACCGCCTGTCACCGCCCGTCACCACCCGTTAACGCCCGTCACCACCCGCCACCGCCCGTCACCTCCCGCCACCGCCCGTCACCTCCCGCCGCCGCCAGTCACCACCCATCACCGCCCACCGCCCACCTTCAGCAGCAACACCTCGAGCAGCCGCAGCGGTATCATCATCGGCAGCAGTGGCAGCAACAATCGCATCGGACAGCAAACTCTAGTCACACTCTCCCCTGACTAGCCCCACCAATGTCACTCCCCGCTCCCCCCACCCCTCCCTCATATTGAACGCAATCAGTTCGCCCACCACCCCGCTGGTTGTGATGATAACGAAAACCAGTCAATCCAGCCCAGGCAACGAGCCTGCCACCCCCCCACTCACCCCGAACACGATGAGCTCGCCCACCACCTCGCTGGCCGTGCTGACGGCCTTCTCCTCGTTGAGCCGCTTGATGTGCGCCGCGGGGGACTGCCCGTACAGCCGCCGCTGCAGCTGCACCGTGAAGCGGTGGTAGCCCTGGGGGCCACGGAGGGGGAAGAGGACGAGTGGGCGTGCGTGTGAGGAGCGCCAAAGCAACACTCCCGTACAGCCGCTGCTGGAGCTGCACTGTGAGCCGGTGGTAGCCCTGGGGATCGTTGCGGGGGAGGGGAGAGTGGCGGAAGGAGGGACAGCGGGGGGAAGGGAGAAGCGTGATGCGCGCTCCTGGGGACTGCCCTGCCCGTACAGCCTGCACTGTAACCGCAGCGTGAACAGGGGGTCGTGAACAGGGCGTAGCCCTGGCGGTCGCAAGGGGGAAGACGGGTGCAGGGGTGAGCGGTGAGGGAGAGACTTCGAACCAACTCTGCCCGGACAGCCTTCGCTGCACCGTCAGACGGTGGTAGCCCTGGCGACAGAATGGGGGAGGAAGGGGGAAGGATCAATGGTGGGGGATGCATGGGGGGGGATGCATGGGGGGGGATACATGGGGGGGGATGCATGGGGGAGGGGGGGGTTGCATGGGGGAGATGCATGGGGGGGGATGCATGGTGGGGGATGCATGGTTGGGGATGCATGGGGGGGATGCATGGGTGGGGGTGTGTTGGGGGGGATGCATGGGGGGGGTGCATGGATGGGGATGCATGGGGGGGATGCATGGGGGGGGAAGCAGGGGGGGGATGCAGGGGGGGGTTGGATGGGGGGGATGCATGGGGGGGAAGCAGGGGGGTGATGCAGGAGGGGGATGCATGGTAGGGGGATGCATGGTGGGGGGATGCAGGGGGGAGGGGTGGGTGCATGGGCACACGCACTTCTGAGAGTCCCATGCGCGCACGCACCTAAGCTTGCAACCTACGCGGGTCGCCTATGCACATAGCCCATGCGCGCCCACCCACCTGCGCCCAGTCGGCGATGGATGCGCGGAACTTGGGTAGCCTATGCGCACCCCCACGCGCGCCCCCATGCGTCCAGAGTTCCCCCCTATGCGCGCAGCCGGCCCACTCACCCACCTGCGCCCAGTCGGCGATGGATGCGCGGAACTTGGGTATCCTATGCGCACCCCCACGCGCGCCCCCATGCGTCCAGGGTTTCCCCCCATGCGTCCAGGGTTTTCCCCCATGCGTCCAGGGTTCCCCCCTATGCGCGCAGCAGACCCACTCACCCACCTGCGCCCAGTTGGCGATGGATGCGCGGAACTTGGGGTGGCTGGCGGCGCGGCGCTTGATTGCCTTGGCGAGCGGCTTGCTCAGCGTCTTGAGCACCAAGTCGCCCAGCTTGCCGAGGGGCAGCGCCATGGAGGAATATAATTCAATCAATTATAAATTATGAATTACAGAACAATCAGTCGATTCTTGGCAGTCAATCAGTCAATAATTCGAGCAGTCAAAGAGTCAATGAGCCACAGGCCGGGTTCTGAAGGCATTCGAGCGCGTTGGAATCAGTGGCCTAGTCTAACGCATGGAGCGTCGCGGGAGTGGCGCGGATCGCAACAGCGACCGAAGCACCGGATCGCCCAGCGTGGCGGGCGGTAGCGCCATGGACGAATGGGAGGGCGGTCAGTCACGGACAGCGGCCTCCAGGCAGTTGAGCGGTTTTGAGTTGGGAGCGCAGCGCAGTAAACTGGTCAGCAACTAGCGCCTTGAGATCTCCAGATCGGCCGGACGAGAGGTAGCTGGCTTCAAATAATAGGTTAGTCAGGCGCACGCGGCGCTGTGCAGGCATTGAATTGTGTCAGTTGTCAGCTCTAGTTGCTAAGAACTGTCAAAGGAGAGGCATATAGGTATTAGCTTAGCACTGGCATAGTCATAACCATAGAACAGATCTGTCCGTAACAAGAGTTTCTGGCAGTGGGGTGATCGACAGCAGAGTGATGGTCAGTGTGGCGACTCGTGGAGACTCGGGCGGAGCGGTGGTGGGAGTGCGGCGACTGGTGGCCATGGTGCGGGGAGGACAGACACTCAACACTGGGATTCGCGGGAGTCTGACACAATGTGGCTTGAAAGTTGTAACATCGATTGAACATTCTTCCAATGGAAATGTAGATAGCGTTATATTTGATGTGGCATCACGTGATATCTCATTAGGTGTATGCGATGATGGATAGATAGGTACAGCACAGCATGTGATGAACAAAAAATCTGGGTATTACCTACTTCAAGCATCAATTTCTGGAAGCTTCCCGCAGTCAAAGAGCGCATGGTCCAAGAAATGGGAGGGCGAGAAGAGGTGTGGCAACACCACTTCATCCCTGGCGAAGCAAACCGCCTCCTGGGGCAACTGCAGCAACCACCCGATGGCAAACGACCGCACCGTCAGCTGAACCACCCTCCTCCCTCTCAACACCTCATACTCCCTCAAAGCTCCACACACCTTGTCACTCTCCACCCTTCTCTGCACGCTCGCCCTATCCCCTCCTCCCTCTCCGCCGCTCCCGTTTTTGTCATCCGCATCTGGAACAGAGGCCCCCCAGAGGCACCGCGCCAGCACAACGGCGTCTTCCAAGGCAGTGCATGCGCCTTGGCCCAGGTTCGGTGTCATGGGGTGGGCGGCATCTCCGGCCAGAGTGGTGGCGCCTCGTCCCCATGTGCCCAAAGGGGGCGGCAGAGTCCAGCGGTCGGTGATGGGGCTGACTGTGATGCCGGTGGGCGGCGTTGCGTGAATGAGACGCTCGATGCCGCCCTGCCAGCCTTGCACGTGGAAAAGCGCCTCTTCCTTTGCGGCTTCTGATCCTGGTGTGGCAAGAGTGTGGGAGAATGATGGTGAGTGTGGGAGAATGATGGTGAGTGGGGTGAGAGAAGATGAATGGGGGTAGTAGGAGGAGAATGAGGAGGAGGGAGTTAGAAGAGGGTGTGGTGTTGGGAAGATGAAGGGAGGAGGAAAGAGCCGGAGAGGAAAGGGAGGAGGCAAGGCTTGTGAGTGGGTGAGTGCCCATCGGTTGAATTGAAATCACAGCCCATTGGGAGCACCAATTTCACGGCAATGCGCTTCCCAAAGAAAGGCTAGTAAATGTAGTCACCTTTGGGCGGCAGGGGGGTGGGCGGGGCATTGTAGCAGGTGAACCAGTAGACCCGCGTGGCAGTGAGCGGGTACAAACCCGCTCGCACTCCCCTCCCCCACACCAACCGCACCCGCCCCCCCCCCTCCCCACTCCCTGCCACGTCAGCAGACCCAGCATCACCACCATCGCTGGCAGTGGCAAAAACGGGATCTGCAGAATCTAGTTCCGCCACCCCTCGTGCCGCCCGGTATCCGGCGTAGTTGGTGGGCAGCAGGCCGAGCCAAGATGCCACTGCTGACGCGTCACCGTCACACCCTATCAGAGCCTTGGCTTCAATAGAGGCACCGTTGGATAGAGTCACAGTCACAGGGGAAGTGGCAGCAGTGGTGCTGGTGGGTTCTGGGATGTGGGTGATTGTGGTGGCGAATCGGATGGTGCCAGGTGGCAGTTGGGAGGCCATGCAGGAGAGAAGGTGGGCGCGAGTGACTCCCCTCACCTCGTGGTCTGGTCTGCATGCCGCATCACATGCATCACATGCATCACATGTATCACATGCATCACATGCATCACATGCATCACATGCATCACATGCATCAATGCATCACAAGCATCACATGCATCACATGCATCATATGCCAATCCCCCCCATTCCATGCCATGCCAGCAACCATTCCATGCCATCCCCACGAGGCAGCAGTGAGACATGGCGGCAGGAGGCATGGCACAAGAGCAGCGTGTGAGCTGCAGGGCAACGAGGAGAGAGAAAGGAGAGCCGCAGGGCATGGCAATCAGCTGCGCAAAGGAGAATGGCACTGATGATGGCACCGATGATGGCACTGATGATGGCACCGATGATGGCACCGATGATGGCACATCACAAGTGCAGTGGCCATGGCAGCAAGGGCAGCGACTGACCCCACATTGCAGTCAGCGAAGTCAAAGGAGCGCAGAGCAGAGCCGTCCGCTGCTGCGATGTCGATGCTGGTGGGGATCGGGACATGGGGAGTGATGTGGGTAGTGACATGGGTAGCAGCATCCTGAAGCAAGTTAGGCAAGAGGGAAGCATGGAAAAACATGCGAGCAAAGGGGCGGCAGCATGGCATCCATGCTGCACCGCGTTCATGCTGCATGCATTAACGGCTCGTATACGGCCATTACAGTCGTCTGAGGCACACTTATCCACCTCTTTTCCTCGCACCCCGCTCACCCCTCCAGCCGCACGTATTCGCCTCGCAGCAGCACCGCCACTCCAAGGGCGTCCAAAGCGCGCCAAGCGTTGCCCCACAGACTTAGCGCCGCTCCTGATTGGGCGAGAGCCGGCGCGCGCTCCACCACGGCCACGTGGATGCCGACGCTGGCGCGGAAGGGGAAGAGGGGCGGAGGGAAGGGGAAGGGACACGCCAGTGGGCGCGCCAGTGGGGAAGGGGAGGGGGGGAAAGGGGGGGGAATGAAGAGAGGGGGAGGGGGAAGTGGGCGCGTCAGTGGGGAAGAGTTGCGCGGACGCACTGCATGTGCGACAAAATGGTGGAGAAAGAAGGGCAGGCTTGGGAATAGGATGAAGGGCGTATGGTGCGCGGAGGAGGGAGGTGACTATACCGGTGCAAGGCGAGGGCAGTGGCTAGTCCGGCGACGCCACCCCCCGCTATAAGCACATCGACGCTCTCTGTAGCAGGTGGGTCCGACGGCCGTGCCGCCTCCGGGCCATTTTTCGCTGCTGCGCGCCCGCGCGAAGACCACTTTCGAGACGACTGGTCTGCCTTCTGCAACAACGCTTTGCTTGAGGAGATGCGGCGAGGCGAGAGGCGCGAGCATTGACGCGGGACGGACGGTGAGGGGCCGGTTGAGGTGAGCGGAGACAGCCATAGCGAGCGAACCAAGTTGCTGCGCGGACGCGGGGCGCTCGAAACAGCAGCTCGCGAATCGTGGCGCAAGAGGCGCGGGGGGTGACGAAGCGCGTGGTGGGCGGGGGAGAGGGAGGCCATGGCTGACACCATCCGCACCGCGGTGCTAACTTCCTGTTCGGATTCTCCAGTGCCCCCTCTGACTCCACCAAGGTGACTTTTGAGTCGACTCAACAGTCACCCCTACCGAGTCTCTGCTCCTCGTTGAGCCCCGTGGTGCCGCCAGTGCCAAATTCGTTGGGAGAAAGGTGCTTCAGCATTCGACATTCAGCGGGTGGTTCTCGCGAGTCACCGTGCTGGACCACTGGAAAACGCAACAAATTCGTGCGACAATTACATGCCCCCAGCGAATCTGTGCGTTTCGCGAGGTCCGTTCGCCAATTCGCCCCAGGTGGAACCCATTCGCCCACCCACCAACCTCGATCTTGCCGGACTGTGCTAAACTACTCTCTGCTCAAATTTCTGTGGCAGTGGTTGAATGTCATTCCCGAGGGATAGGAGGATGAACGAGTGATGAACGACGGATCACTGCAATGACTGCCATAAGGGCGCCCGCGCCTAGTACCCGCGCCGTGCTCCGCAAAGCGCCGCGCCTTTTAGCATGTGGACGAGGTCGCTAAGCGTTCTGTTGAAGAGTTGCGACGTGCTTTTAATCGCCTCAAATCCGCGCCTTGAGTGACGAGGAGGACCATGCTGCCAACTTTCGCGCGTTAATCGCTTAGTACGCGCCAGTACCCACTGATCGACTCGCTCTGAGGCCAATCAGCAGCAGACGCTAGTTGAATGCCGATTCCGTACGGCTTTCAACGTTTCCGTCGTCGCGTGACGCCACTCCTTCATCCTCATCCGAGTAGCTCGTGTCCTCCATAGTCCGCAACGTCAACGTCAACGTCAACGTCAACGTCAGTGCCAGCGCCAGAGTCATTCAGAGCGCTGCCTGATCTCGTATCTGCTCCTCATCCCTCCCCTCACCACTCACCCGCCCCTCACCGCGCGCCCGCCAGTGGTCGCGCGCGCCCATGTGGCCGTGGGGGAGGCAGCGCCGCGGGGCGGCGTACGAGACGGTCCAGCACGACGACCCCTCTCCCACCTTCCGCTCCCGCTACCAGCAGCAGCGCGCGCGCAAGTCTGCGCGCGCGCCGGGCGCTGGCGGGGGGTTCACGTGCTGCTACGTGCCGTGCTCGTGCGCGACGGTTGTGATTGTAACGGTGGTCGCCGCCGCGCTGCTGCTCTGGTTGGTCGGCCTCAACCCGTTCAGGTGCGTAAAGCGGAGGAGGGAGAGGAGGGCGGGCGTAAGGTGAAATTGGAACTAGTGATGATGAGTGCTGTGTGTCTCTCTTCCCGTGCATCCCTCATTGCCGCTCTGTATCCCTTTCAACCTCTTCCCTTCCCACCAGCCATGCGACCACCCTAGTGTCTCGCATCAAAGGCGCGCAAGGGGAGGGGGGCGCCCCAGGGGAAGGCGGAGAGGGGCTGGCGGCGGAGGGGGAATGGACTGGCGCGGAGAAAGCAAGGGCGTGGATGGGGGAGGGGGGGAGGGGGGGAAGGGGGGCACTGGGCAGGGGAAATGGGCGGAGTGGGGAGGAGCGGGAGAGGATAAGCAGCCAGACAAGATGCTGCCTGCACCAGATCTACCCGATTCTTCCAGAAAACGCCCAATTCCTGACCCTGACACACCCACATGGGGGGCAGGGTCAGGGGGACGAGGTTCAGGGGGGCGAGGTTCAGGGTTGAAGCACGGCGAGGAGGAGGAGGAGGAGGTGGAGGATGAGGAGGAGGGAGGGAGGAAGAGGAAGAAAAGCCCGAAGAAAAAGGCGCGGTACGGCGGGGGTCCGGAGGAGTGGGAGGAGGTGCACGAGAAGCTGATCACCGAGGCCGACACCATCGCCGGGGAGGCCCGCCTCGCCGCCAATGAAGCCGAGATGGCTGCTGCGACCGTGGGCGAGGGGGGTGACGGGAAGGCGGGGCGGTTGGGGAAGGTGGGGGGGTTGACTCGGAGGCGGTATGAGCCGGGGGAGGAGGAGGAGGGGGTGGAGCTGCGGGGCCAGGGGGGGAAGATGACGCGGCGGAAGAAGGAGGGGAAGGGCGCGGGGGAGGGGAGCAGGTGGGGGAAGAAGAAGAGGAAGAGGAGGGAGGAGGAGTATGACGAGCAGGGGAGGGATGGAGGAGACGATGGTGAGAGGGGCATGGGACGTGGTGTGTGATATGGGATGTGGCAGGTGGAGTGTTATGGTGTGAGACAGTAGGATGGGCGCACTGTTGTTGACTTTCTGCCCCCATTGCGCTGTTCGTCGTGCTCCTCTATCTCTTCCTTGCGCATTCCTCTTCACCACCCTGAGTTTCTTGTTCCTCTATCCTCTCCCCACATGCCCTGCCCGTGTGTTTCCTCCCTCTTCTGCTGCCCCTACCTCCCATGTGCTCGCCGCTCGTCGCGTGCGCAGAGGACGCGGAGGAGGATGGGGTGGACGAGGAGGAGCGGGAGGAGGAGGAGGAAGAGCGAGAGGAGGAGATGGAAACGGACGGCTCAGATGAAACCGATGAGGACGAAGAGGAGAGTGCGAGCAGGGGGGGCAGCAGGAGGGGTCGCAGCAGCGTGTTGGCCAAGCGCATACCGGGCACGGGGGTGCGGGGCGAGGAACAGGTGGGGCGGGTGCGGCGCCAGCTGGCGTGCCTAGCCGGGAGGGAGGGCGGGCGGTGGGCGCTCAACACCACCCCCAGGTGGCTGCCGTGGGACCTCACGGCGTCGCGCAGGCGGCGATCGCATCGCCAGCCCAACCACCGGTCGTGCGACCAGCTGTGGGCCAAGGAGTGAGCCCCTCTTCCCACCTTTCCTCACTCCCCCCTCCTTGCCAAACCCGTTCATTCCACTGTCCTTCTCACTGCCCCATCCTGCTCTCTGCATTATCCCACCTCGTGGTCTCCTTTCACCCTCCATCACCCTGTGCGCCGAGCAGGTAGGAGGTGTGTACGGTGCGGCAGCAGAGAAGGCAAGGTTGCTTTTTAAGTTGACTCAAAAACTACTTCTCTCCATTCCCCCCCACAGGGATGGCGGTGTGGACAGCACGGCATGAAGGCACGGCGGTGCAGGTGCACGTCTCGTCTCATAGCCAACCCCCTAACTCCGCCCCCCCAACAACCCCCCATGGAGCAGGGAGGGTGGTGTGTACGGCGCAGCAGCAGAGAAGGCACGGCGGCGGAGAGAAGCCATGCGGTGGCGGGTGCGGCGCTCAGCTCTGTATGAGTGGCAGTCGGGCGACGACTCGTGCCCGCTGCTGCCCTTCGACCGCACCGCCTTCTGCCGGGCCATCCGAGGGCGCAACGTGGTGCTGGTGGGGGACGCGGGGGCCTTAGACCTGCATGACGCGCTGCTGAACCATTTGATCACTGCTCACACACGCCGCATTGCAGAACCGCTGGGGGATGCATGGTGGGTGATGATGATGATGCTGATGGGTGGTGGATGATGTGTGATGGCCACTTCTCTTCCCCCCTACCTGTGTCCCTTTCTGTCCAATTCTCTCCTTTCTTCAATTGGTCCGTTGTATTAATTAGAAGAAGAGTACAGGCAAGGCATAAGGACAACCACAAAGGTAAGTCCTAACAGCCCAGGCCGGAGGACCTTAAAGTGCGGATCCCAAAACCCCCGAAGTAAAAAACTTAGGTTTTGATCCGGGGGCATTTTTGGCTGGGGACCAAGACCTTAGGTTTTTGAGTTCGGGGGTTTTGGGATCCGCGCTTTAAGGGTCCCCCAGCCCCGGCTCGAGTACTTGAAGATCCCCCACGGGCAGCGGCTCCGCCCGCATGCCCCAAGGCGCCTCCTCGGCCGCCAGGGCGTGGTTGATCTTGGTGTTCAGAGCCCCCGCTGGCCCCCGCTGGAGAGTGACGGACCACTGCTGCCGGTACTCATGGAAGAGCTTGGCAGCTTCACGTGAGGTAGGTGCCGCATTGTTCCGCTTCTTCGCGGCTAGCTCCGCGCATTGGTGGAGGAACCCGAAGGCCCCCGGCGAGGTGAGCCCATAAGTCTCTGCCGCCATGGCAAAGAAGCCAACCCACTCGTCCCGAGCTGGAGGGCTGTACTTATTTTCCTTTCCCCGGGCCGCCACCCGTGCAGCCCAGCCGGTCCCCTTGCGGGCGCGCAGGTCCTCTTTGGAGATAGGATTGGTGACAGTGACGTCACACAGCCATACCGCCCCCGTGTAGGGGTGGCGGATGGCGACGTCCGCCCACAAGTTGGCCACCCTCGAGAAGAGGTTGGTCTCCTTGCGCGTGATGAAGCCGGCCTCAGTGGCTATACGAGCGCACTCATCACAAAGACCGTGATGGGTGCCCGTTCATCCAGGGCCCTTGGCACACCTGAGGAGGTGGTTGGGCAAACGGGGGTCCTGGATGGGCTTGCGCTTGGGGCAGTCACACGTGGGGCGTCGAGAACGGGAGGCCGAGGCGGAAGGCGACCGCCGTGGAGATCTGGCCGGGGGAGAGGCGCAAGGCGGAGGCCATGGGGAGGGCGTGGAGCCAATCGCCAGCCCCAGGGCCCACCAAGGACAGGAGGCGCTGAGTGTGCCCCTGTAGCGGGTTGAGCGGCATCTGGCGAGCCTGGTCAAGCAGGAGCGGATAACGCTCCGCCTGCACTTGCAGCGCCAGAGCACGCTGCAGCTTGGGCGGGTCCGGGGAGGCGCGCTCGCCTAAATATCCCCTTTCATTCCCTTCTCCCTCCCCCACTCTCCTCCCCTCTCCTCTCATCCCCCAGGGCCAACGCCACAGAGGGAGCATGCTTCGAGGCGGGCCACCCCCTCTGCACCGACGTGCGCCTCTCCCCCTCCTCCTCGCGCTCCTCTCGCCTCCCCTCCTCCCACTCTCACTCGCGCACTCGCCCTCACTCCTCTCACAGCAGCAAGAGCAGCAGCAGCAAGAGGCAGCGGCAGCGGCGGGTGGGCAGGGAGGAGGAGCGCACAGGGGGAGGAGAGGAGGAAAGGCGAGTGGGGAGGCATCTGCTGAGGTACGGGGGCGGGCCGGAGGAGCGGGACGAGGGCGAGCTCAGCAGAGGGGGGCTGGGGGAGGGCGAGGAGGAGGAGGAGGCGGGGGTGGGGTCAGCGGGGTTCAACATGCGTGTGGTGCTCAACCCCTTCCTGGCGCCTGACACTGGCCGCACATCCCCTGTGAACAACCGCTGGGTGAAGAAGCTCAGGCGGTGGCGCGCTGGCATCCTGGTGCTGTCACGCACGGCTCGATACAAGAGCAGTGAGTCGAATGGGGTGATGCTCTCAAGACCCTACTTCATAAAAAGAGGCCTGCTTTGTTCTATTCTCCTCGTCACCCCTCCTCATGCCCATGCCAATCATCCCTGTTCCCTCCCCTCTGTTCCCGCTAGAGCGCACACTGCTTAGAGAGTTACGAGCCACTCTGAAGGCAGTGCGGCAGCGGCACCCCAACCTCCTAATCATCTGGCGCAACTCCCCTGCGCCGCACGACGACTGCGAGGACGCCACCCTGCCGCTCAGGCGCCGCCCGCTCTCCTCGCACCAGCGGTACCGCGAGATGAACGAGCTGGTGAAGCCGCTGCTGGAGGTGAGTGTGTGAGTAGCAGCATAGGGGCTACATGACACATGATATGCTGGAGTATGGTGGTGGCTAGTGCTGCGCTGTCCTCTGCTCTCCTCTCCTCGCATCAGCGGTGCCGTGAGATGAACGAGCTGGTGAAGCCGCTGCTGGAGGTGCATGATGAGGGCTCAGTGGGTCGTGGTGGAATGTCTTTTCAGGGTGGTGGATGCTCTCCGCTCTCCCCCACCTAACAGGAGCACGGCGTGGTGCACACTGTACATGGACGTGGGTGCACACTGTACATGGACGTGGGTGCACACTGTACATGGACGTGGGTGCCGCCACCTCTCTGCATCCCAACGGCCATCACGTCCTTCACTCCATCCCCAACCTCCCCTCCCCCCTTCCCTCCTCTCTGTCTCCCTGTGGCTCCGCGCCCACATCAGGAGCACGGCGTGGTGTACATGGACGTGGATGCCGCCACCTCCCTTCGCCCCGACGGCCACCACGTGCGGCGGGACGGGTCCACGGACTGCCAGCGGTACTGCATGCCGGGGCCTGTGGACCAGTGGGTGGGGCTGCTATTTAACCAGCTGGCGCTGCTCAACCAGCACACGCCCCTGCACTCCTCTTCCCCCGCTGCTGCTGCTGCTGGTTCTGACGCTCATGCGCATTCCGAGCCTACTGCAAGTGCAGGCATGGGCACAGGCACGGGCACAGGTGCGGGCACAAGTGAAGGCAATTCTTCAGGCATGGCGGATAGCAGCAAGAGCAGTGCAGGGGACGTTGGAGGGGGTAGTGGTGGTGATGGTGCTGCAGCGGGTGCTGCTGGTGGTGGCGAGAGGGTAGCGGATGGAGGGGGCACGGAGGGTAAGGGGGTAGGTGGGGAGGAGGGCGTTGAAGGAGGGGAGGGCGAGAAGGGGAGAGGAGAGGGGGTTGCAGGGGAGGGTGTGGGAGAGAGAGGGGATGGAACGAGGGGTGAAGGGGGAGAGATAGGTGGTAAGGAGAGGGGAGAGGGAGAGGAGCGAGGCAGTGCGGAGGGGAGGGCTGGAGGGAGGGGAGAGGAGGGGAAGGAGGGGGGAGTGAGGGAGCAAGGGGAAGTGGAGGGAAGTGGAGGAAGAGAGAGAGTAGAGGAGGGCGACTTGGGAGGGGAGAAAATTGATGAGGGGACCTTTGAGAGGGGGGAGGAGGAGAGTGAGGGAGAGGAGAGCGGCGAGGAGGAGGGAGGTGCGGGAAAAAGTGGTGGCGAATTGGGAGGAGAGCGAGTGTCTGGGGGGACGTTTGAGAGGAAAGAGGAGGAGGGCGAGGAGGAGAGTGAGGGGGGAGGAAAGAGAGGAGGTGATGGAGAACTTGGAGGAGAGAAGGTGGAAGAGGGGACGTTTGAGAGAAGGGAGGAGGAGGGTGAGGGGGAGGGTGAGGGTGAGGGTGAAGGGGGGAGTGAGGGCGAAGGGGAGAGTGAAGGAGGGGAGAAGAGCGGAAGGAAGGGCGAGCTGGGAGGGGAGAAGGTGGAAGAGGGGACGTTTGAGAGGAGAGAAGAGGAGGGCGAGGGGGAGGGCGAGGGGGAAGGGGAGTTGGGCGGAGGTAAGGTGGATGAGGGGACGTTCGAGAGAAGGGAAGAGGAGAGTGAAGAGGAAGAAGGCGAGGGGAGGGGGGGGCAGAAAGCAGATGGGAAGCTGGGAGGGGCGCAGGTAGCGGATGGCACGATTGAGAGGCAGGAGGAGGGCGGGCAGGGGGAGGGGGAAGGGGAGGGCGGAGGGGAGGGCGGAGGAGGTGGCGAAAAGAAGAGTGGGGAGCTGGGAGGAGTGAAGGTGGACGATGGGGCGTTTGAGCGGAGCGAGGAGGGAGAGGGCGGGGAGGAGGGAGGGGAAGGTGGCGGGCAGGGGCAAGCAGGGGGGGGTGAGGCTTCTGTTGGTGGAAGCAGTGGGGCAGAGGGGCGGACGGAAGGGGAGGGGCAGAGAGGAGGAGGAGGTGGTGGAGAGGGGGGCGAGGCGAAGACCACAGAAGCAGAAGCAGAGAGTGAAGGTACGCAGGGAGGGGGGTGAAGGTACACAGGGAGGGGGGTGAAGGTACGCGGGGAGGGGGGTGATGGCACACAGGGAGGGAGCAAGTGAGCAAACACAGATGCTGACTTCTCTGTGTGCATTCAGCAGCACTCATTCCCGTACCCTCTCTTGCGTTCCCACCCCGTTTCTTCCCTACTAAAGCATGCATGCATCCCCTTCGCCTCACTGCTGCGCCTCTCCTCTCCTCCCGCGCCCCTCTTCAGAGCCAATGCTGGACCACATACCCGGCAGCATGGTGAAGGGGCGAGCGGCGGTGGAGGCGGTGGATCGCGCGTTGGAGTGTGTGATGAAGGACGGGCGGTGGAAGGCGAACGACGAGATGCGCGTGCTGCCGTGGAGCCGCAACCCCGGCAGCGACCCGCAGCTGCCCAACTATGGCACCTGCGACCTCCTGCACGAGACAGAGTGAGATGCGGGAGACAGAGAGCGCACGCATATCCTATGCTCTTAAATCCCATGCCCTCATATCCCATGCTCTTAAATCCCATGCCCTCATATCCCATGCTCTTAAATCCCATGCCCTCATATCCCGTGCCCTCATCATATCCCGTGCCATATCCCATGACCACATATCCCCTTGCCCACATATCCCATGCCCATGTATCCCATGCCCACATATCCCCCTGCCCACATATCCCTTGCCCACATATCCCCTACCCAGATATACCGAATCTCTCCACCCCATCCCCAACCCCCCACACCCGCACCTACTTCCGCCTCTCCCCTTAACCCAGAGCTGGCGGGGTGATGGGCGACGTGGCAGATGAGATAGTGCGATCCAGTGGCAGCCCCACGGACCGGCAGGGGGGCGTCATCTCTCCACCCCATCCTGCGCCCGTCTTCCTTCCCCCCTAACCCCCTAACCCCCCTAACCCCCCTAACCCCCCTAACCCCCCTCCAGGGCCGGTGGAGCCCCAGTGGCAGCCCCGCGGACCGTCCAGGGCCGGTGGAGTCATGGGAGATGTGGCGGACGAGATAGTGCGCTCCAGTGGCAGCCCCGCAGACTGGACGGAGTTTTTCAATGTCTCTCAATGTCTCTCCACCCTATCCCCAACCGGCCCCACCTCCCCCTTAACCCCCGTCCAGGGCCGTTGGAGTGATGGGAGATGTGGCGGATGAGATAGTGCGCTCCAATGGCAGCCCCACGGACTGAAGGGTTCGCACGGAGCCGCTGTTCGACTAGGAGGAGTCTCTCACTGTCTCCCAATTCCTCTCCATCCCATCCCCATCCACCCCCACCTGCCCCTGTCCCACTTACCCAGAGCTGGCGGGGTGATGGGAGATGTGGCGGACGAGATAGTGCGCTCCAACGGCAGCCCTGCGGACTGGAAGGTTCGGCCGGAGCTGCTGTTCGACTGGAAGCCAGCCACGGGCCGGGGGTGCCCGCCGTATGTGCCGTTCACAAGAGACAAGTTCTGCCGCCTGGTGGGGCGGCGCAACGTGGTGATGGTGGGCGACGGCTCCCAGCTGGCTCTGCATGACGTGTTCCTCAACAACGTGTACTCGCTGCAGGCGGTGGACCAGATGGGCAATTTGGAAGACGCATGGTGAGTGGTGGAGATGGGTGGTGAGCGTTGGAGATGGGGGTCATGGCTGGTGGGGCAGGGGGTAGCTTTGAAGGGTGGGTGCTGTGTGTGGCTCCCAGATGGGTGACCCGGAGGGCGCATGGTGAGAGGAGAGGGGGGCCATGGTCAGGGGGGTGGTTGCATTCGAGGGGAGGGCGCTTCATCCTATGGGGGGGTGGTTACAATTTAGGGGGGGTTGGTACATACTAAGGTTGGTTACAATTTAGGGGGACTTGGTTGCATCCTACGGGGATTGTCGGGTGTTGATTATCGGTTGTTGTTAGTCAGTTGCCAGTGTTGGTTTCCGGCTCTCAGGTGTCGGTTGTCGGCTGTCGGATCTCTGTTGTCGGTTGTCGGCTGTCGGGCGTCGGCCGTCAGCCGTCGGGCGTCCGCGGTCTGCTGTCGGGCGCCGGCTGCTGGCTGCCGGCTGCCGGCTGTCGGGCTTCGGGCGTCGGCTGCCGGTCGTCGGCTGTCGGGCGTCGGGCGTCGGGCGTTGAGCCATCGGACGCCGGCCGCCATCGGCTGCTGGCTGTCGGCTGTCGGCTGTCGGCTGTCGGCTGCCGGGTGTCGGCTGTCGGGCGTCGGGCGTCGGGCGTCGGTCGTTGGGCGTCGGCCATCGGGTGTCGGCCGTCGGGTGTTGGTTGTAGGTTGTCGGTGGCCTGTTGTCGGTTGTTGCCTTTCAGCTGTCTGCGGTCTTCTGACCTACCCCTTACCCTGAACCCCTCCTAGTGAGCGCGAGTGCGAGCCGTGCGTACCAGGGCCATGTGGTGCGAGCCGTGCGTACCAGGGCCATGTGGTGCGCCCTGACGTCACCCCAGGGGGCTTCACCTTCGACCCCTAGCCCCAATGCCAAACCCCAACATCCCTCCAAACCTGATCCCCTACCAGGGAGCGCGACGGCGAGCCGGACTGTGCAGACCAGGGCCACGTGGTGTGCAGCGACATCACCCCAGGGGGCTTCACCTTCCGCGTGGTGCACAACAACCTGCTGTCGGCGGACCTGGCGGGGGGAGGCAAGTTCAACAAGCGGTGGATCAAGCGCCTGGCGGGGTGGAACACGTCCATTGTGATCATCAACAAGGGCGCCGAGCTGCGGCCCAGTGCGTGTGCGTTGCTCCTTGTTGCCCTCACTCAGATGACCTCGCACACAAGCCTCACACACTTGTGCTCCGTTGACCATGCACCCCCATTGTGATCATCAACGGGCGCCGAGCTGTGGCCCAGTGCGTGTGCGTGCGCTGCTCCTTGTTGGCCTTATTCAGAAGCCCGTTCACACAAGCCCTCGCACACAAGCCCTCACACACTTGTGCTCCGTTCACCATGCACCCCCATTGTGATCATCAACGGGTGCCAAGCTGCGTGTGCGTTGCTCCCTATCGCCCGTACGCACTTGGAGTGAATACTGTATACTCTTTGCCGTACTGCTGCCGTTGATGCATGTGCGCCATTGACCATTCAATTGAATCGTTCACTCTTTTCTCGGACTGTTCCCCCTGCAGCCAAACGATGCTTGCAGCTGCTGCGACGCACAAGGCACCGGATGTGCTTGTAGTGTTCCACAGTATTGTGGGGGGATGCTACTGTGGCTCGAACCTAATTTACAGTCCCACACCCTATCCCCACTGCAGCTAAACGATACGTGGAGACCCTGCGAGACACGATGCAGCTGCTGCGGCGCAAGGCACCGGACGTGCTGGTGGTGTTCCGCAGCACGTGGCGCGGCCACGTGGACTGCGGGCGGGCCGAGGGGCCACTGAAAGCCGTGCCGGGGAAGGGAGACGCCACCCTGCCGTGGGACTATGTTCTCGAGCAGAACGCTGCTGCACGTGCCATCATGAAGGTGCTGTTGCGTGAAAGGTTCGCAGTGTTGTGTAAGGGTTGGTCACGCCATTACCAAGGGAGCGAGCCAGGGGGCCGCTGTGTTCCAGGGAAGGGGGGCGCCACCCTGCCATGGGACTATGTGCTCGAGCAGAACGCTGCTGCCACTAACATGAAGGTGCGCCTAGTGCCAGTACCAAGGCGCTGTTCCTGGAGCCCCTCGCGCAACCGGACATCCACACACCTCTCTCCACGCAACCTTTCACGTCCTACTCATCCACTCCCTCTCTCCCCCCCCCTGCTTACCTCACCACCCTAGGAGTTTGGCCATGTGTACCTTGACTTCCACACTCCTTTCTCCCTGCAATACTGACGCCATCGACTGCTACCTCTACTGCGTGCCTTAGCCTGCCCCTCCCTTCCTCCATCCATCCATCCCTCTCCCCCCCCCAGGAGTACGGTGGGGTCTACCTGGACATCGACACGCCTCCCTCCCTGCGGCCGGACGGGCATCTGCGCAAGCTGAGTGCCTCAGCTCTCCCCTCCCTTACCTTCCCTCGGCTCCCTCTCACCCTCAGGAGTACAGTGGAGTCTACCTCGACATCGACACGTGGCTGGACGGCCATCTGCGCAAGCTGAGTGGCGCCATGGACTGCTGCCACTACTGCGTGCCTTGAGCCCACCCCTCTCTCCTCTCGCCCCGCCCTCTCTTCGCCCCTCCCCTTACATCCCTTAATACACCAGGAGTACGGCGGTGTGTACCTTGACATCGACACGCCCCTCTCCATGCGGCCGAACGGCCATCTGCGCAAGCTGAGCGGCGCCATGGACTGCTACCACTACTGTGTGCCGGGGCCGCTCGACATCTTCATGCGCTCGCTGCTCAACCTGCTCATGGTGCTCAAGCAGCATGAATCGCTCTCGTGACACGTGGTTATGACACGCTCTCGTGACACGTGGTTATGACACGCTCTCATGACACGCTGTCATATTGAGTGTTACGAAATCAGAGACATGGCAATAGCGGATGGTCACCACTTCCCAAAATGGGACTGCCACCCTACCAGTAGGGTGACGCCCCTTAACATCCATGCTCCTGTTCCAGCAGCGTCAGTCGAGCGGCAGGATCCCTCCCTCGTGATAGCCCCTCTTGGAGCGCATCAGGGGCATGGCACCAGAGAGCTGCAACAAGATCCAACACTTGTTCGGAGCTTAGCAAACAACACGAGTCGCTGTGATGACTTATGGTAGTGCCTTACAGAGTGGCAACGTATCGCCAGATCCCTGAAGGAAACGAGGCGCAGAATAGAGCAATCAGTGGCATGCCAGGGTTTGACCATCGCTGCACATGCCTTGCTTGAGTTCTGTGTTGTGACAGATGCCGTGCACCTTGCAAGTCCCCCGTGCGTTGAGTCTCACATATAATCTTCGGCCAGCGAGACGTGTGGCACAATGAAGATGATAGGGCAACCACATAATCAGACCTACAAGAAGAATCAATTGGCGGCAGCAAAACTGTGAATTAGTGGAGACGCGGGGTATCGATCCCCGTACCTATCGCATGCAAAGCGATCGCTCTACCATGTGAGCTACACCCCCATGCTATGTGATGAAAAATTTTAACTTCTGTAAATTTTATTAACTTTCTCACTCTGTTGGATTTATTTCCTCGTAGTCATCAGTCACGATGGCGGTCCTTATGTCCCCCTCGCGCTCCCACAGACCGTCCCTCCTCTCACTCCTCCTGCTTCTCCTCTCCCTCGCCGCCTCCTCTGCGATCGCGACGACGCCGCACGACGTGTGGGGCGACGCTGACGACGACGCAGACGATGCCGACGAATTCGACGGCCACGATGCATCCGCCGCACCCGGTGCGGGATCCAGCGGAGATCTTGCGCCGACCCCCCCGTCGCGGGGCGGGAGGCGGAAGGGCATGACGATCCCGGGGGGTCTGGCGGTAGAGCGGAGCTTCACTCCGGGCGACAGCAATAGCTTCTTATCGGGGGGGCTTATAATGATGCAAGGCGATATGCGCCCCGACGCCACCACTGTATGTCCTAGGCGCCTTTCCCCTTGGCGGATTGAATCTAGGCGTCTCCAGATTTTAGCGCCTCATTGAAGGACGCCCTGCGCCCTGCGCGCTGCGCCCGAGTCGCTCCGTGACGATCTGCCGTGGCCCAGCCTCAAGATCGCGCCGATCCCTTGCGGGTTCCCTCTGCCCCTCCCGTCCAGCGCGTTCCCTCTGCCCCGAACCGCGCCTCTCATCCGCTCTGCCCCTCTCATCCGTCCACCTCCCCTCTTCCCCCCTCTTTCCCTCTCCCCTCCCCTCCCCCCCCCCAATCAGACGTGGGTGGAGGCCACCGTGATCTGGCATCCGCTCTCTCCCCTCGAGTTGGAGGCACTTAAAGCCCTGGTGGCAGCGGACGGCGTGTACCGCGTGCGCCTGCCGCCCAACCCCTTCTCCACTGCTGCCCCGCCGCAGGGGCACGTCGTGGCATGGGGCCGAGCGGTGAGACATGGGGTGGCATGGGGCCGAGCGGTGAGACATGGGGTGGCATGGGGCCGAGCGGTGAGTCATGGGATGGCATGGGGCCGGGCGGTGAGTGAGAGGGCTGGGGAGAGATGAGGGTGTAGGGGTGGGCAAACTCCTTCTCCACTGCTGCTCCGCCGCAAGGGCATGTGGTGGCATGGGGCCGAGCTGTGAGTGGGAGAGATGAGGGAGAGATGAGGGAGAGATGAGGGAGAGATGAGGGAGAGATGGCGTCTGATGGCTTGCCGGGGGATGGATAGTGCTCGCCTACTTCCTTTGATTTACCCTGTCCCCTCCCACCAAACCCCGTCCTTGTCCGCTGTCGTCCCATCTCTCTGTCGCCCCCTGTTTTTTGCCTCTCCCTTCTCTGCACTTACCTGCTGTCTCCTTTTTGTGTCCCCTGTGTCCCTGTTGCCCTTGCGTCCCCTGCACCATCGCCTGTGTCCCCCGCATCATCGCCTCTCAGCGCTGCCTCGCTGCGTCTGGCTTCCGGGACTCCCTGCACCTCCTCTTCGTGAGATGCTTTACCCACCCTCCTCTGGTCCCTCGTCCCACCTCGTCCTGCTTCCTGCTGACTTGCTCCAAGTCCCCTCCTCAACGCACTGCGCCTCTGCTCTTCTCCCTGACTTCACATGCCATACCCTGCCGTGCTGCCATACTTATTGCCATGCCGCTACTGCCAGCATGCCATGTGCACGCTCGCTTTTCTCACTGTCACTTCGCCCTGCTCGCTCATTCGCTCATTCGCTCGCCCTCACCCTCTCCTTTGAATGCCTCTCCACTCCTCTCGTTTGTATGCCCTAAGCCTCAAATCCACATTTCCACCCACCTTCCTCCCCCCCCCCACCAACCCCCCCCCTCCTTCCCCTACCCAGGATGCGGGGGGCAGGCTGCTATCGGCCCATGTGAAGCCGCAAGCTGCCTGCACTGCAGCCACCACTGCCGCTCTCGATGTTCAGGTGGGGCTCGATGTTCACGTGGGGCTTGAGGGTGGGGCTCCACTACAATGTGTGACCACGTATTGCGTGACCACAGGTGGCACGCGCATAGCATTGCGTGTTCCATTCAGCCCCGAGTGCTCCAACGGTCTGGCATATCATTGACTATCGTTCTTTGTCGGTGAATGAACGCTCTTCCAGACTCTGTGCCATGCAGTACGTTCTCAAACGATCGTGTGTTCTCAAACCATCGTGTGTTCTCAAACGATCGTGTGTTCTCAAACCATCGTGTGTTCTCAAAGGATCATGTGTTCTCAAACCATCGTGTGTTCTCAAACGATCGTGTGTTCTCAAACGATCGTGTGTTCTCAAACCATCGTGTGTTCTCAAACCATCGTGTGTTCTCAAACCATCGTGTGTTCTCAAACGATCGTGTGTTCTCAAACCATCGTGTGTTCTCAAATCATCGTGTGTTCTCAAACGATTGTGTGTTCTCAAACGATCGTGTGTTCTCAGGCCATCGTGTGTTCTCAAACCATCGTGTGTTCTCAAACCATCGTGTGTTCTCAAACCATGTATGCCTCGCATGGCATGCAGTAATGTCGTGCACCCCATGCACCCCATGCGCCCAATGCACCCCATGCGCTATTTCCATGCACCCTACAGGCAGTGGTAGCGATGCTAATCACCATGCGTTACTGGCATCCCATGCCATGGCATGCACGCCTTAATTTCCTATGTCAACCAATCCCTTGCATCCTACAGGCAGTGATGGCGATGCCAGTCATCGCGCTTGACTCTGACGTCATCATCGATGCCAGCACCATCGCCCAACGGTAGGTGCATGGATGCACCCATCCCCTCGCATCCCTGCATGGTTGCACCATCGCCCAGCTGCCTCCATGCATTGATGCATATATGCACCCATCCCCTCGCATCCATATACAACTGTACATCCATATATGCATGCACCGGTACAGGTGTGTCTATGCATATATGCACCCGTCCTCCTGCATTTATGCAGCATGATCGTATGCAGCATGCTCGTACGTCTTACATCCATATATGCATGCACCGGTACAGGTGTGTCTATGCATATATGCACCCGTCCTCCTGCATTTATGCAGCATGATCGTATGCAGCATGCTCGTACGTCTTACCCCCCCGTCTTATCTCCCCTCCCCTTTTGCTCCCTTTCTCCTATCGCAGCCTGCCAGTGCGCAGAGCCCCTGTGGGGGGCAGTGTGGCGGGGGCAGGGGGGGCAGCAGGGGGGGTGGCGGTGGAGGAAGACCCCATGGCGCCCCCAGTGCCGCCCAAGACATTCTGGCAGAAATACGTGAGTGGGAAGGGGTGGGTGAGGGGGTGGTTTTATGGGCCAAGAGAGATCGTATTTGGGCCTGCATGGGGGGGAAAGGACCCCATGGTACCGCCACTTCACTTCTGGCAGAATTATGTGAGGGGGGGGGGATTGGGGGGGGTGGTTGGGTGGGCCCCATCAAACGGAGTCGGGGGGGCATCAGAGCAAGAAGACGCCATGGCGGCCCCAGTGCCGCAAAAGACCTTCTGGCAGAAATACGTGAGGTGCGGCCGTGCGTGGGCTGTGGTTTTGATGGGCATAGTGGGATGGTGTCTGGGTATCTGCTCACCCTCAGCATCTCTTGACCCCTCACTGCCCTGCTGCTCAACGTCTTCATGGCCCTGGCTGGCCCCTCGCCTGGTCGTGTGACTGTTCAACAGCCAGTCTATTTGCGTCATACTGTCCCCCCCTTCTCCCCCTCTCCCCCCCTCCCTCTCCCTCTCCCTCTTCCCCCTCCCCCCCTGGCAGTGGATATTCATCATGGCGGGCGGCCTCCTCGTGCTCAACATCTTCACGGCCCTGGCTGGCCCCGATGCCCCTGATGCTCCTCAAGGGGGGGCTGCAGGCGGGGGAGGGGCACGGCGGGGGAGTGGGGGTGGAGGGGGAGGCAGGCGGGCGTAGCTGGCCATGCCCCTTGGTAGATACGCATGCTGGTGGCTGGAATGGCATGCCTGCCATTCTCCGACCCCGAATGAGTGCAGTAGCCTGGCAGTGCTTGAGTATCTAAGAGTGGTTAACGCCTCGTTTAGGTCACATGATTACATGAGTCAGCTGTACAAGCACTGACTCATTTTTAACAGGGCATGCCCGCTTATAGCAGAGGCTCATTTAAATGAAGTCATCGAGTTGTGCATTTAGGTTTGGGTAGATGTGGAATAGTGAATGTTGCCAAAGAACCCTGCATGGAACCAGCAGTCAAGATCTTTTTCTTTTGGTCCAGACTGGGTGGGAACCAGCTCTTCAAGGACGTATCGTACCACAGTTCCGTGTGATAGAACTTGGTACTGCAGCAACGCACAACACTAGTGTTGCCCAAAACACCTTCTACATGATTTCTAGTACTGGATCCTAGAATTGGCAAGTCTATATGCAGTGTGCGAAACAGACAACAGTAACCTTTCTATGCCCCCCAGCTACACTGGGGAGCACATGTCTACCTTCCCCCTTCCTGCCCTGCACCTATGTTCACCGTCGCACGCAACACCACAAGCTGTAGAATCTGCACACATGAGCTGAGCCGCCCACGTGGGCTGTGGCACTGAAAGGGTTGCGGTGTCATCAACTACCAAGACAGCATGGGTGCCAGCACTGACAGCATGCAGGGGCAGCCGAAATACACAGAGAGGGCAGCACCGGCGCCTCTCACCAGCAGGGTGGAGCAGTGAAGTATCCAGTATAGTAGGGAGAGCAGCATAGGACAGGGTAGGGCGGCATGGGATGCCGATGCTGTGCTGGTGAGGGTGGGATGGTGACATGGGTTGCGGTGTGCTAAACACATACGGGTTGCGACACAGGTCGTGACATTGGTAGTGACATACAGCGGAACCAGCCAAGAATCAGGATACAGCAACAACGAAAGTGCAGCAGGACACAAGATGGTAGAATCCATTACAAGATGGTAGAATCCATTACAAGATGGTAGAATCCATTACAAGATGGTAGAATCCATTACAAGAAATGCAAAGACGCCTAGCAGGTCAACAAGAAGAGACAATAGTGTCAGCAGGGCGCAACAGACAGGAAGCCTGGCATCAAGACCCTGCAGACGCCCCGGTCTGCTCAGCTGATTGCCTTTGGACCCCTCTTGGACCCCTCTTGGCCGTTAGGGGAGCCACTGCCCCCTAACGTTCACCCGGACACCACGGTGAGGTGGGGGTCCGTCGCCCGGGACCTACTCCTACTCCTACCTCCTACTCCTACTCCTACTCCTATCAAGATGCACTTCTACTCCTGGCAAACATGCCCAGCAAAATGCATCATGTACCATGCCTATTCCTACTCCTAGCAAAGTGCCCAGGAAAATGCATCATTAGCCATGCCTACTCCTACTCCTAGCAAAATGCCCAACAAAATGCATCATTAACCATGCCTACTCCCACTCCTAGCAAACATGCCCAGCAAAATGCATCATTACCCACGCCTACTCCTAGCCCTAGAAAAATGCCCAGCAAAATGCATCATTAACCATGCCCACTCCTACTCCTATCAAGATGCAACATGCATCAGCAAACACTACTACTACTACTCACCAGCTCACCTGCTCACCCATGCATCGCTGCCCTCCCATGCGTCGCTGCCCTGCCCTACTGTGTGTCCTTTCCTTACCTGTGGACCCCTCCTGACAAGATGCATCACAAAAAAAACACTCCAACTTCTACTCCTGACCAGATACATCCACAAACGCTACTCCTACTCCTACCCCTAACAAGATGCATCAGCAAACACTACTCCTACTACTACCCCTCCCCTCCACGCTGAGGTGTGTGTCCTTTCCTTACCTGTGGACCCCTCTTGGCCGTTCGGGGAGGAGCCCCTAACGCTCACCCGGGCACCACGCTGAGGTGGGGGTCCGTCGCCCGGGACCTACTCCTACTCCTACCTCCTACTCCTACTCCTACCTCCTACTCCTACTCCTACCCCTACCCCTACTCCTGCACCCTACTCCTACTCCTACTCCTACCCCTACCCCTACTCCTGCACCCTACTCCTACTCCTACTCCTACTCCTACTCCTACCCCCTCCTCCCACCCCCTACTTCCCCCCCACAAACCTGAAGCTCACACCTGAAGCAGAAGTCGCTGCTGTCCCAAGAGTAGCTCCTCCGCTGCACGCCTCTGCTGCACGCCGCGCCAGTCTCCCCAGGCTCCCCTCCTGCAGCCGCCAACCGCCTCACCTGAGGCGCACCTGAGGCACCTGAGGCTTGGTGAGCCTCCTCCCGCCCTCCCCCTGCTGCACCTGAGGCTTGGTGAGTCTCCTTCCGCCCTCCCCCTGCCGCACCTGAGGCTTGGTGCGCCTCCTCCCGCCCTCCCCCTGCCGCACCTGAGGATTGGTGCCCCTCCTTCCGCCCTCCCTCTGCTGCACCTGAGGCTTGGTGAGCCTCCTTCCGCCTGGTCCGTCCTCCCACACTCCACCAGCCTCTGCTGCACCCCCGCCTCTGCTGCACCCCCGCCTCTGGTGCACCACCGCCTCTGGTGCACCACCGCCTCTGGTGCACCACCGCCTCTGGTGCACCACCGCCTCGGCTGCACCACCGCCTCTGCTGCACCACCGCCTCTGCTGCACCACCGCCTCTGGTGCACCACCGCCTCTGGTGCACCACCGCCTCTGGTGCACCACCGCCTCTGGTGCACCACTGCCTCTGGCGCACCACGGCCTCTTGTGCTTGGAGCGCCCTGAAGCACAGCGCACACAGAAAACCCTAAGGGCTGTTAAGGCTCAGTAAATCCGCCCACAGCTCAGCAATTCCGAAAAGCCAGGAAGAGCAAGAGGTAACCATGTTTAGGGCTTACCATCTTGCTTGGCGCTTCTCCTTCCACCGGCGTCTCCGCTCCAGTGCCAGTGCCTCCAATCCACGGCACACACTCCATCACAGCAGCACATAGCGCCAGCGCTCCAAGGGAACTCCTTGGCTGACTCTCCTCTCCTCACAGAGCAGCCAACTCCTCTGCTGCACCCAACCCCTCCCGCCTCAGAGGGCAGTCCCCCTGGGTGCTAAGGGCGCGGGAAGGGTGGTGTGCCAGAGCCAAGGCACCCTTCCCAACCCCCTGCTCTACTGCCTCCTGCCGCCAACGCACCCTCACCCTCCTCTGCTGCACCCAACCTGCTCGTCAGTCCCCCTGGCTGCTGCTGAGGGCGCGGAAACGGGAAGGGGAGGGCGGAGCCCCCCAAGGCAGCTTCTGCTTCCAGCTCCTTCTGCTTCAGCTCCTTCCAGTCCCTAAGGGGAGGGCGGAGTCCCCAAGGGGAGGCGCATCCCCGAGGAGGTAGCGCGGTGTCCCCAAGGAGAGGCGGAGTCCTCAAGGGGAGGGCGGATCTGAGGTGAGAAGGGGGGCCAAGGGAGAGGAGAGGAGTTCGAAGCGGACACAGCGGAAAGCAGAAGAAACTGAGACCAACTGAAACAAGAAGCAGAAGCAGAAGAAACTGAGACCAACTGAAACAAGACGAAACAGAAGCAGCCAGAAACTGGGGGTAAACCCAACTGCACGCACCTTCTCCTCTGCTGCTCCCTTCTGCTCCTCTCCTCTGATCCTCTCCTCTGCTTCTCTCCTCTGCAGCAGCCGCCCGTCGCCTCTCCTTGCTTCTGCCACGCTTAACAATCTCAACCGGTTAGCAAAAAAAAACAAAAACAAAAATACAGGAAATGCGTACCATGCTTGGATGGAGGGCCGGCGCGTCTTCTCGTGGTGCTCCTTGCCCCTGCCACCCTTACGATCTCACCCGGTTAGCAAATAATCCAAGAGGAATACAAGCAGGAGGTGCGTACCATGGTTGGAGGGCGCACGGTGCTCCTGTTGACTCCTCGTGAAGGCGCAGCAGTGAAGGCAGAGAGCAAGCAACGCACCTTCACTTACCCATGCAGGTGCACACACCTGGAGGAACATGGACTCACCCGCATCCGCCCGCCATGTTGCCAGGGGTGCCTCACTCTCACTCTCTCCTCACACTCGGGCCACACGCCCCTCCCCTCGGGCCACTCGGCCCTCCCCTCGGGCCACTCGCCCCTCACACTCGGGCCACTGCCCACAGTCTGTCAGTCAGTCGGTCTCTCAGTTGGTCAGTCTGTCTGTCTGTCAGTCAGTCTGTCTGTCTGTAAGTGAAGTGAAGTGGAGAGTGGTGGAGTGGGGTGGAGGACGGTGGGTTGGCGGGCGGAAGTGGTGAGGTGGCTGATGGGCGGTGGAAGGTGGTGGAGTGTGGTGGAGTGAAGAGGAGGATGGTGGGTGGTGGAGGGTGGTGGAGGGTGGTGGAGGGTGGTGGAGTGTGGTGGAGAGGAGAGGAGGATGGTGGAGTGTGGTGGAGTGGAGAGGAGGATGGTGGGTGGTGGACGTGGGATGCTCCCTCTGCTGCTGCCGTAGGTGGGAATAGGGGACAATCCCTCAGCTGCTGCGGCTGCTGCTGCTGGACATGGGGATGTTCCCCAACTTCTCACTGCTGCGGCTGCTGCGGCGGCTGCTGCTGCTGCTGCTGCTGCTGGGGATGTTCCCCAGCTTCATGCGCCAACTGCTGCAGCCTGCTGCTTGCCTGCTACCACTGCAGCAGCAACTCGGTGCGGGTGCGGGTGCAGGGAGGGCACGACCCCCCTGCTTCTGGTGGGAGATGCAGCGAGGTGCAGCTGGTGGTGCAGCTGGTGGTGCAGCTGGTGGTGCAGCTGGTGGTCAGCAGGGCACTCCCCAGGCCGTGTGTCATCCCACCGCCCTCCTCTCATGCCCAAGGCGCTCTCCCACCACCAACGCCGGCACCCATGGCACTCCCACGCTTGCAGCTGCTCCCAAAGCATGCTGATGGGGTAAGGGACGCTTCTTCTGCATGATGAACAGAGGTCACCGCGGGCAGCAGCAGTGGTCAGGCACCGCCCACCACATCCCACGCTTGCAGCTGCTCCCCACCTCCACAACTCCGAGCTCACCGCCCTCAACCGTGAGCCCTTGCTCCCTCTGCTGCTGCCGCTGAGTGGGGGAGGGGAGCAGGATGCTCCCTCTGCTGCTGCCGCTGAGTTGGTTAGGGGAGCAGGATTCTCCCTCTGCTGCTGCTGCGGGTGCGGGGAGAGGGAGGGCCGGGACAAAGGCAGGCTCCCCCCTGTTGCTGCTGCGGATGCAGCAAGGGCAGCGAGGGCACTCTGCTGACGGACGAGGCAGCAGCAGCAGTGGTGAGGGGGGGTGCTGCGGGCACTCTCAAACCCCACTCCTGCTGCTGCGGGTGTGGGGAGAGGGGGGGCCGCGAGGGCAGCGGGGGCAGTGGTCAGCAGGGCACTCCCCAGGCCGTGCGTCATCCCACCGCCCTCGTGCCACCTTAAGGAGACATGATGTAGGCGAACATCTGGAAGAGAAGGCGGGGGGGGAAGGGGGAAGAAGAGAAGAGAGGCGAGTGAGTGCGTCGTGGAAGGGGATCTAGACAGTCAAGACAAGGCACGGTGGCGGAAGGTGTTAATGGCATACTGCAAGGGCGGACAGACAAGGCAGGGTAGGACTGTTGCGGGTGGTGAGGGCGGGTGGGAGGCAGAAGGGGAGGGCAACTCACGAGTCCAACAGAGTGCAGGTGGAGGGTGGTGAGGGCGGGTGGGAGGCAGAGGGGCGTCACACGACGCACAGCACACGCCTCACCCCACAGCTGCTGCAGGCATCCTGCAGGAATGGGAGGGGAAGCGGGAGGAAAGGCAGGGCAGAGGGAGGAGAGGGAGGGAAGAGGGAGGAGAGGCAGGGCAGAGGGAGGAGAGGCAGGGCAGAGTAAGCGAGTGACAATGGAATTTGAATAGCGGAAATCGAGAGACAATCGAGAGAAGTGACACGGAAATTGAATGCATGAATTGAAAAAGCAACAAACACTGGTGAGTGAAGTGTCGGAGCCTTGAAGCGTTGCCGCAGAGGTTGGGCGAGTCGGTGTGCTGCTGGGCTGCTGCTGCTGGGCGGGTGGGTGGGTGGGTGGGCTGCTGCGAGGGGGAGTGTGGTGGCAGCTGCAGGGTCGTCACCCGGGACATACCACACCAGCCGTTACCCTCTCACCTGCTTACCCGTTGGCAGTTACCAGCTGTCACCTGGGGAGGGTCCCAAAGTTAGACCACTGACAGCCGGAGGAGGAGGAATGAGTGGAGAGAGGAGGAGGAGGGCGGGAGGGGGAGTGGAAGGTTGACGGAGGCGAAGCTCCTCCACTGCTCCTCCCGCTCCTCCCAGGGCAAGGCGCTGCTGCCTCCTCTGCCCTCCCTGCTGCCAGCAGCAGCAGCCACCCCGCCCACCCTCACTGGGCACGGAGGCAGGAGGGCAGCAGTGGTCAGCAGGGCGGGCAGGAGGAAGTCACAGAGCCATCCGTGACTGCCTGCCGTGCGTCATCCCACTGCCGCCCCTCCATGTGCCTCCTCCCTCTGCCGCCTCTCCACGTACTCCGTCCCTCTGCTGCCTGCCTCCCTGCAGCACGCCAAACGACACAGGGTGAGGCTCAGCATGAGGAGAGAAACGGCAACTGAAGCGGAAGAGTTGGCCAAGAAATGGCGGAGAGGCATGCTTACCATGGGTGCTGATGACTGTTGTTGACTACTGGCAGCAGGAGCTGTGCTTGGCTGCTCCTCCTCTGCTCCTCTGCTCCGATTCCCGCTGCTGCTCCGACTCCATGCACTCGTAGAGCTGGGTGGACAGGCCCCGAGGAAAGGCGATGGGTAGGCAAGGCCAAAGGGAGATGCAGGGAGTGAGTCCAGAGCAAACAGCGAGCTGAAGAGTGGAGGTGCAGAGCGAGCAGAGCAGCAAACATGTGAAGCTAAGGCAAAAACTGAAAAGAAAAGAAAAAAAAAAAAGAGGAGCGAAAACGGAGCCGGTGGGAGGGGGAAGGCGCATGGCGGCAGTGACCCATGGCACCACAGCAGCATTTTAAGCAAGCGAAGGGGGGACTGGGGTAGAAAGGGACGCGACCATGGTATGAATGATTGTCTAACCCGCGAGACCCTATATGAGCTCCACTGCTGCAGTGCCCCGGACCCCACCGCCATGCGCCAAGAAATATACAAATGAGAAGCATAAACGAGACAGCTAAACGAGAAGCATAAACGACAGCGATCGAGATAGGGGGGGGGTTTGAGGGACAGAGGGGAGGGGGGAGGAGGGGGGCAGGGAGCGGGAGGGAAGTGGGAACTTAGCCGTGGGAGGGTTGCAGCAGCAGGTGAGCCGAGCGGACGGAAGGACGAGGCGGGGTGGAAGGATGAGCAGCGGCACGCCTCGTCCACACAGCGCTGGTCCTCCGCCTCACAGCAACCGCGGCACACGCCTCCTCGCACGAGCAGCACGGCGTTCGGCGACGATCCCCGCAAGACAGGCGCGGTTCCCCGGCGACGATCCGCGTAAGATAGGCTCAGCTCTCTGGCGACGATCCGCGCAAGACAGGCGCGGATCTTCGGCGACGATCCGCGCATGACAGGCGCGGCTCTCCGGCGACGATCCGCGCAAGACAGGCGTGACGGCGACGATCCGCGCATGACAGGCGCGGCTCTCCGGCGACGATCCGCGGAAGACAGGCTCTCTGGTGACGAGACGGAGTCGAGTCGAGACGCGGCGAGTCAGAGTCGCGTCGGTGAGGCGAAAAGGCGGAGGGCATTTCAGACGAGGCGGAGGCGGAGGGCACTTCAGACGAGGCGGAGGCGAAAGGGGACGAACTCTCATCGGTGGTCGATCCAATCGCGATCCCGATCCGTGACGATCCTGCACAGGTTCAATAAAGCAAGTGAGAAATCAGGATTCGTAGTCATAACGAGGATAAAAACAGTTTCTGTAAGTCGTGTATCTTACGAGGGACGCAGCAGGGAACGGAGCTCCACATGGCTACGAATTTATTCCGCGCCGGACGTCCGTGCGAAGCCGAGTCTTCAAGTCGTCACTGTTCAACGTTCGCGGTTCGCGTTCGCCGTTCGCCGCTCGCCGTTCGACTCTTCGCCGTTCGCTATTCGATGTTGGGGTGAGCGGACGGAAGGCGCATCGTTCTCTTCCGGACCGGAGGTTCGCCGCTCGCGAGTGGTCGTTCGCCATTCGCCGTCGCCGTCCGCCCTGGTACTCTCGTCGCTCGAGGCTCGCCGTCGGTTCGCCGTTCCCGCGGATAGTTAAACGTCAGCTACCGATCAGGCTGATGCTTGCGCTGTCAAGGATGCTTCCGCTGCTTCGAAGCCCCCCGCTCGCCGTGACGCCACTCAAACCGAGAAGTTGCCTTCTCGTCTATTTCGCTGACAGTATTGCCGCCGAGACAGTTGTCGACGCCGGCTGCTACAAGACGCGGAGAGGCCGGATGTAAGAACCATCTACTGGAAACTGAAAGCTAAATTCAGGCTCCCTAAACTCAACTTAGGATGTACGCTCGTCGTTCTCTACCAAAATATCAGTGAGCTATCAGTAAGCTACGGAATAAGTGGCGAATGATCCGCCTGTTGCCTGACGTTTATATACACCACCATCGGAAACAGACAAAACCACATCCGGTACGCCAAAAAGTAAGCTACGGAATAAGCGGTAGATAAAACGCCTATCAGTAAGCTTCAGAAGCTCAAACGCCTGACGTCTTCCAACACCACCATAAAAGAACCGAATCAAATACTAATCTGGCTGGTATTCTGATCAAGAGACAAACGAAATACGCGGGAAGCTAGATTCACGAGGGAGTTTCCACCAGTAGCCATGGCTAGTCGAGGAAGCCATGCTTAGGTTGAGCTAAGCTAACTCGAGAAGACTCAGTGACTAGAATTCAGTTGGGAGAATCTGGCAGAATGAGAATCTGCCTGCATCGCCAGGCAGGAAGGCTTGTTGCTGCATGGCGCAAGGAGATGGGAGGGAGGAGGAAACAGAAGCCACCAGGAGCTGACAAAATCTGAGGCTTCCGCTGCTCACCCGCCAGAGCCGCACGACGGCGCAAAACTTTTGAGAATGGCGATTGGGCAAATGGTATCGGGCGACTGCGAGCGAAGGAGTCATTAGATCGCCAGCACATGTGAGTGGAGGGCTTCATGAACCGAAACAGCTCGCGAAGTTACCCGAGCAGCCGCAAGCGGAATGCGCTCAACAAGAGCTGCGGCGGGTTTTAGTCAGGCGCAGCGCGAGAAGGGGTGGCGCAGCGCGCGGCTGTGTGTTGGCATTTGCAGCGCACAGCGTCGCGAAGAGGCGGGCCATTGCCGAAAGGTATGTCTCGTGCAGGCGAATGTTGAATCGCTTCCGTCACTGAAAGACAAAAGGCGTAACTTGAAAGTCGCCAATTATTGTGGCCTTTTGCGACCAGAATGGAGTTCGCCGCTGCGCTACGAGGGTTTGTGTCTGACGCAGCGCAACTTTTGAATGTTCGCGCGAAGCACTTCCGGACCGGAATCAATGCGAGTGATGGGCAAGCCAGCTCTGGTACATGTGGCTGAAGTCAATCCATTGGCCGACCTAATATTTGTGGGCCCCAGTAAGGATTCAGCCGGGTCAGCATGACGTGTGGTGTGGTGTGGTGTTTTTTGGTGTGATGTGATATGGTGTGTTGTGGTGTGGTGGTGGTCACTGGTCACTGGTCACTGGTCACTGGTCACTGGTCAGGTCAGCCAGGGAGATGAAGAGGCGGCGACTGGAATTTGGGTCGAGTTCGCTGCAGTCACCCTCTGCATTTCTCTAACAAATATGAACGAAAAAAGAAATGAGTCTTACAGCGAAAACAGAATAATCATGAGATCCTTGGTTCTACGTGACTAACACTCCCATCTACCTTACTACATAAATATATATGAACACCTGCTAATATTGATTTCAAAATCTATCATATTACACTAAACTTCATTGGCTGCAATGTGAAGGTCATATTTGGGTACGTTCTTGATTAATTGAATATGTTATCTAGAAACTAAGGCAATGTCTGTCATACAAGGTTCCACATAATCTCAAACAAGAATGATTTTTGTTATATAATTGTAGGCTTGGTAGGTGTTACTGAACTCTACTGTAGAGGGTACAAGTACAACTCCCTCGTTTGCAACTCTCTTTTCTCTCGTCAACTTTTCTCTCCTAGCTCCTAGCTCCTAAACCCTCACGCCATTTCATGGCCGCCCTTCCTTCCTAGCTAAGTTAGCCTTCGTAACATGGAATCAGAGCTGTTCGTTCCTTGTGGGCCTCCTCCTCACGCTTCCGCCGCGCTCTTCTACTCTCTCTCTCTCTCTCTCTCTCTCTCTCTCTCTCTCTCTCTCTCTCTCTCTCTCTCTCTCTCTCTCTCTCTCTCTCTCCCCCTCTCTCTCTCTCTCTCTCTCTCTCTCTCTCTCTCTCTCTCTCTCTCTCTCTCTCTCTCTCTCTCTCTCTCCCTCGCTGCCATGGCGGCCGCGTCGTGCTGCTGTGGCAGCGTCGTCGTACCGCCGGCCGCGGCGTCGCGCTGCTGTGGCGTCGACGTCAAGCCGTGGCGGCGTCGGCGTCGACGTCAAACTATGGCGGCGTGACGGCGCCGTCGTGCTGCCGCGGCGTCTACGCGACAGCACGCGGACAGCAGCGGCCAGCGCCTCTTCTTAGCGCTGGCCAGCACACCCGCATGCAGCCAGCGCGCCACACGGGGCAGCACGCTCCCGGGCTCCGCTGCTGAAGCCCCGCCCCCCCCCTTCCCCTGCGTCCCCTCTTCCTTGCCGCACCCGACGGCTACTTCGCGCCGGCTGTCCCACCGTCGCGGAGCCCGGCCACGCCGCCGAGTGCTGCGAGCTCCGCCGCCGCTGGCAGCTGTCGTCGAAGCCGCCGTTGCCGCAGCTGGTGCCGCTGGCCACGCCGCCGCACGCCGCTGGCGCCGCCGCTGTCGACGCTGCCGCCGTTGCAGCCGCTGTCCTCGTTGTCGACGTCGCCCCGCCTCACGCGCAGTGGGGTTGACCGTGTTGAAGTAGCAGTCGCTGCTACTGAGGATGGGGGTGCTAGGTTAGGGGGTGTGGGTGTGTGTGGGCTTGCCACTACCAAGCCTAGGGGGTGTGTTAAATTATATTTGTTATATAATTGTAGACTTGGTAGGTGTTACTGAACTCTACTCTAAAGGGTACAACTCCCTCCTTGTATGCCTCTCTCTTTTATTCTAGCTCTCTTTTCTCTTGTCAACTTTTCTCTCCTAGCTCCTAGCTCCTAAACCCTCTTGCCATTTCATGGTCGCCCGTCCTTCCTAGCTAAGTTAGCCTTCGTAACACACAGACCGCTCTCAAAGCCAAGGTCATTGTCGCAGGGTCTCAGACGAAATCCGTCTAATGGTCTGAAAATCAGACATTTTGTTTTGCTTTCATCTGATTTTTTGACGGGGTGAATTATTTCGTCTGATTGTCCATCTCAGTCATAAGATTTCGTCTGAAAGTTCAGACTTGGTGTATTTTTTCGTCTGAAATGTCAGATGGCGCGTACAATTTCGTCTGACAGCAATCGCCCATTATCCCATTGCGCCAATGGGTCACCTGCCCACCGGCCCACACTCTGCCATCCTGGTCGTGGTCGGTGGGCAGGTGCATTTATTTCCACGCGCACCGCGACGGCCAGCGCTTAGTCACGAAATGAAATCGGCAGCAACCTGACTCAGGTTGCTGCCAAGCGCTCGTCCGATAGTGCGTCACTTGCACGGTTGCCAACTTCCTTGCATCTTGAAGCTGGCAGCAATGTGCCAGCACACAGTGGTGCGGCCAGGAGAGCCACCCACCGCGAACCAGCAATGCAGAGCTGTTTCGTAACCATGCAGCAACCTCGCTCGCCATGCTGCAGCTCAGCAAGGCGCCTGAACGTAAAGGCTCCGAGGGAAAAGCCTCGTAGCCACTTGTCCTGCTCCACCTCGTTATTCCAGTCCCCTCAGCATGGCTCCAATCTTGCTCGGCTCACACCCTACCTAGACGCCCTCTAGCTCTGTCGCTAGGCAGCGATGGCATCAGAGAGAGCGCAGTCGACCCCTTCCCCAGTTAAGCAGTCAGTTGTAGGCTTGGAGCCCCCTAGCTCGACCCCTCCGATTGTTAGTGGTAAAGATCTCCTCACTGGCGCGCTGAACCGCGCCGTCATCGGTGATGCTTCGATTGCAGCCGTGGGTGAGGCACCTCCGTCGCCTCTCCCACCGTTAGACGACGAGCCGTGGATTTTCTTTGACAAAGAAAACTCTACATGTGATGCTCCAACGTCACCTAACCCGTCGTCAACACCTGGCTGCTCAACCGTGCAAGCCGTCTCACCTTCACGCATAACGCGCGGTCCTGTCCTACCAGTCCATGGCGATAAAATAGAGCGTCATGCAGAAGGGGGGGGGGAGCGCAGTGGGTTGGGCAGCAGTGCTGGCAGTGCGATAGCGGGTCTCTAAGGCACGCAGGTGAGTGGCAAAGTCTGCGCCGGTAGGGAAGGCTGCAAGGTCTGGGAACAGCATCGGGAAGAGGAAGCGGCCAGCAGAAGCAGACGCGGGTGTGGAATAGCGAGCAATAACGGCGTCTAAGTAAGCTTTGGCCGTCTCAACAGTAGCAAAACGCGAGCGCTCAGACACAGGGAGGGCGTGACTAATAGCAACCTGAGCTACTGCATCGCGGGAGTCCCAGACCGCACAGGCAAGCGCAGCAGTAGAGAAGGCCTCATGGTCATCAGAGGAGGGATCAGCAGGGAGGGGAGCAGGGGCAGGGGGGCGGGGGAGCAAGCCATCGATATGGACAACCAAAGAGTGGCCATCCTGGCACTGACCTGTAAGGTGGCGGCGGAGATCGAAGAGCCAGCGGCGAAGTCAATCGCATGGCCCTCGGCGTCCAGTCGGAGCACGAAGTCAGCCATCGTGCAGGGTCAGCGGCACAGCTTCACAGGAACACAACGACGCAGGGACACGGCGGCAGCACTCTCCAGCACGGCGGCCGCGAGGCGCCCCAGCACTGGCGAGCAGAGTAGACGGAGCCCGAGGTGGCACGGCAGGACGAGCAGGCACGAAGATGGGTCGGGCGGGCAGTGGGAGAGGCCAGGCAGACGCGGCGGGGCCATGCAGGCGCGGAGGGGCTAGGCAGGCGCAGCGGGGCCAGGGAGGCGCGGCGGGGCCAGGCAGGCGCGGCGGGGCCAGGGAGGCGCGGCGGGGCCAGGCAGGCGCGGAGGGGCCAGGCAGGTGCGGCGGGGCCAGGCAGGCGCGGTGGGGCCAGGCAGGCGCGGCGGGGCCAGGCAGGCGCGGCGGGGCCAGACAGGCGCGGCGGGGCCAGGCAGGCGCGGCAGGGCCAGGCAGGCGCGGCGGGGCCAGGCAGGCGCGGCGGGGCCAGGCAGGCGCGGAGGGGCCAGGCAGGCGCGACGGGGCCAAGCAGGCGCGACGGGGCCAGGCAGGCGCGGCGGGGCCAGGGAGGCGCGGCGGGGCTAGGCAGGGCGCGACGGGGCCAGGCGGGCGCGACGGGGCCAGGGAGGGCGCGACGGGGCCTAGCGGGCGCGACGGGGCCATGCAGGGCGCGACGGGGCCCATGAGGGGCACGACAGGGCTAGGAGGCGCGACAGGGCCCAGGAGGGGCGCTAGGATGCGCGACGGGGCCCAGGAGGGGCGCGACGGGGCTAGGAGGCGCGACGGGGCTAGGAGGCACAACGGGGCCTAGGAGGGGCGCGACGGGGCTAGGAGGCGCGACAGGGCCCAGGAGGGGCGCGACGGGGCCCAGGAGGGGCGCGACGGGGCTAGGAGGCGCGACGGGGCCCAGGAGGGGCGCGACGGAGCCAGGAGGCGCGACCGGGCCCAGGAGGGCCGCG